AAACGTCAAAAAATTACATTTCGTGAGGCTTTTTTCCATTCGATTTTTCCATGGCAACTTTTTAGGTCACTTTAGACGCATCGGTATATCATGCACGTTTCGTCGGGATGCTCATATCGAATTTTCCATGCTGACAAGCGACAGCTTCGAAAACTCTTCTGCAAAAGAAACCTCTGTGTTGTTCCTGTAATTGTGTTTAAGATCAAGGCTGTTGGCTCGATAACTGTTGATCTTTCTCATCTCATATATACAAGCGCATTTGAGAAGGGTTTTGTACGACATCTTGTTGGCAATTCGCACAAATAATCGCAGCAAAATCAAAATTAGAAAATCACCGCTCTGAGCAAGTTTTGCATCTGGTTCTATGAACAAACTAGCATGCTGAAATATCCGTTTCAATTCTTGATCGCCTCTACTATTGTGTCTAATGTGTTGTTCCATGACATACTTTTTGATTGTCCCCTCCCAGTACAATAAAACACATGAAACATTGTCAGATGATATGGTTGTGGAAATCAGGGTTTATGTTTTCATTTGTATAATTGCCTCATAAACTCTTATAACAGGACAAACGGTTTTTTTAAAATCTTATATGCAAAAATTTCTTTTAAAAGAAAACCAAAATCAAAGTTCTGGAGAAGAAAATTGAGAATGAAAAAATAAAATCATTTGAAATAAAGTTCTGCCATTTCTACTCTGATGGAGTCCAAAAGATTAAACAGTGAACTTAATACAAGCTAAACAAGCAAAATGAAGGCATTTAGGTGGTATACAATAATTGTTTCAAAAGTTGCTTTGATTGCCTTTAAATCGAACAAAAACAAGACTGCTCGTATCAGGGCGAAGCCCTGAATGTTCCGACTGCCTTTAAGGTTTATGGAGCAGCAGTAATAACATTAAAAAAATTTAATGAAATAAAATAAAACGAATTTTTTTTTCTAAAAATTGAAATTTTTTATGAAAATCATCCCACCCACACGCCATATAAAGTACAAAAGAGAGATTTCGTTCCTTGTAACAAATCAATTATGGCAAATAAGCTTCGTTCAACCAATTTGGAACGATTTATAAGACGGATTAAATCTCCGCTTACGCGTTAATAGCGCGAATTATATCGCGCGTTAATTGTCCCAAATTGGTCAAAATGGCAGTCTTTTAACCCTCATAACTTCACGAAAAATGATCACAGGTGAAATATCCTTTCAAATTTAAGCTCAGGACAACAATACCTTTTGAATGATATAAAAAAAAATCCGTAAAAAATGGCTAGTTAAAAAGTCGAAATTAGTGTGAAGAAAAAAAAACCCACCCCGAGCACGAATATTCCGTTAATTTCGTATCGAAAGTCGGAACAGACTAAACTGCTGAAACAAATTGAGATTTATTTTCCGGCTAAAAAGTTTTTTCTTGTAGGATGCCTTGAATCTGCTTTGTTTGCTTTACTGTTTCTCATAATTGTCTATTTAGTTCATGGTCTCGATCAGACCCGTCTCCTTGTCATTCGCCGACCGCATTCTCCAAATTTGAAATGAGCTCACTCACATTAAGCTTCTACTTAAGAAAAGAGTCGACTCGTAGTCCTTCAATGGAAAGTTCTGTTGGCGTCTTGTTTTTTTTTCTTTACATCGTCTGAAATCCTGAAATCCTAGAATCTGGACAGTTATGGCTCAAACAGCTGTCCCTCATTTCCAAAATAGCTGTTCCTAATTGAAAAAAAAACAGTAAGAATCCTGAAGGATATGATGAACCTGCGAGGAATAACGCCACTGGGAAATGTCAAAACAGATTGCGAACTAACAGGCGTTTTTTACGTACAACTCAGAAGTCATTCGACCGAAGCTGAACTGGAAACCCGTGATCAAATTGCTGAGACAAAATTTATCCGCTTAGAACACAATTTCTTTTTAAGTCAACTTAGTTTCTGTAAATTGTCCATGGCTATATGATACCCTACAATAAGCAGCCGGATTTTGCTAATCTTGAAACTTGTTTTGATAATACACAGATCACCTATCAATATCATCGATAACAGTCCTGTAAGCTTGCAACAAATAAACTTTGGTGAAAAATGTTCTAATTTTTATTGATATTGAAAAGGCATAGAATCATCTTCGGTGCACAAGGTCATTGTGTTAAGAAGTCTGTGACGTCACACAGCTTATCTGAAAAGGGATAAATGTTGCGAGACCATTGTGTCAAATGAACCAATTCGTATCCAGTTGTTTTACCTCAAGGGAGAAACCTTCAACATGGTAGCAGGAGGTAAATTAAAAATATTTATATCTTTACAGGATGCCCTAAGTTACTGGTGATATATTTTTGCTTAACGATGTGTTAGTTTAAATTATATTGTTAAAAAAGTGGATTACATTGGTTACGTATGTTCGTACACGGGGCGAATGTCAGATATTTATTGTCGCTGATAGAATGATCTTCAGTGCACAAAGTCATTGTGTTAAGACGTCTTTGACGTCACATAGCTTATCTGAATAAGGATAAATGTTGAGAGACCATTGTGAGAAACTAACCAACTCGTATCCAGTTGTTTTACCTCAAGAAAAAACTTCAACAAAACCGAATGACACGCAGAAGACTGTGGAACGAAAGAAAGATAAGTACGATCAAAACGAGAAAAACATCGCAAATGAATGAAGACGACGAAGGAACACCGATAGGGGACACTACAACACAATTCAGATGAATTCTACAGACGTTTGTGGGGAATGCCGAGGTGGGTAAAGGCAACAGTAATGTAGAGGATGCGGGAGTAGAATTGGAAAAGTTAAAACGAAGGTTAGAAGCATTGGAAGAGAGAGAGAGAGAGAGAGAAGCAGTGGACACAAGAAAACTAAATAGAAAAAACATCGATAATCAGAGTGAAAGATGTAAATGTACCAATTTTAAAGTCAACAGTAGTGGAAAAAAATCGGAGGTGGAAGAAAAAGTTACTGTGGAAGAGTGAATGTACGCAAATTCCATTGATATGCAGGCACTACATGACATTACGAATGGGATAGCAAACGCAGAATTGAACGAAGTCGTTATTGAACGAAGTCGTTACGATGGATCGAGACGAAGCAGAAACCGAATCTGGAATAACCAAAATAATTGACATGCTGGATAAGTACTTGACACCAAATCCGTTTCTAAAGTTGGCCCAAACTTACAGACAATAGAAAAGATGTGAAAAAGGTCCGGAGATAAGTTGGGATGAGTACGTAAAGGGAATGAAGCGATATAGAAGGGAGATGAACGAAGCTGAAATGACAATAAATGACAGAGTATTTTGCATAGCGCTCCTAGAAGGATCCAACCTAGACGAAGCAACAAAAAATCACATAGAAAAGATAGCCCGAAACAAAGGACACTGGGGAACAGAAGTAAGAATGGACCCAACCGTGTTGGAACAGACACTGTGGAGATTGACGGTAAATGAGAACCAAACCTCTAAAATCCTATTCAACCAGAATCACAGAAAAGGATACCATATGGGAAAGAGGGGCCAAAAACAGAGAGGAAGAGGGGGTTACAGATCGGCAAAAGGAAGATCTGTTCAGCAAGGAGGATTTTTTCGATGCGGGTCATTAGATAATTGGATGCGAGAATATAAAACAAATTCTGGAACGAAGATGGGAAATGGAAGAAGAGGTGAACAAACATACCTAAAATAAAGTGCATCAATCGAATTTTGCGCAGACTGATGAGTCCATTGAGGCGTCACCCTGTTATTTCAGGGACCAAGGGGAGATAGAGGAGGGGAGAGAAGAAAAAAGGGATGATGAACTTCAACTCGACATAATTGTAGATTCGGGAGCGGCAAGATCAACGATGTCATTGAAACAATGGAGAGAGATTGAGCAGAGAGTTACGGCAGAAGAATGAAACAATTAAAAGAAAGAAAATCCAAACAGAAAGCAAATTTAAATTTTGGTGAGGAGTAATCACAGCTGATATTGTGGAGTTGTTACCAAATAGGGCAGCGAGAAGTTTTCTAACAAGAAAATTGAATGTGTTTGATGATGACATTCCTCTAACACTAAGAATACAAGCGTTTGAAAAGCTAACAGTGACCATGGATTTCTTAAACAACCTAATGTGTACCCCAGAAAAAGGGTTTAAACTAACCAGATCGGGCTTGGGACATCGAATATGGAGAGTAAAACTGAATACACATAAGTTGCACATGAAACAACGAATTAGAAAAGTAGAGAAGATCTATTGGACGGAAAGAATCTGTAATGAGGAGGTGGATAGAAAAAGAATCTACAATGAGGAGATTGATAGAAAAAGATTCAAAAATATCCATCTGAGATTCGGCCATGCAAGTAAAAAAAATGCAAGTAACAACCTATGAATTAAAGATACAGATGAAGTAATAGAGAATGTAATTGCGAACTGCACTGCCTGTAACGAGACTGGAAAGTTAGCTAATATCAGAAATTTATTGACACCTAGGAGTAAAAAATTTGATGGTTCGCTGGGCAATCGACCTAGCAGAGTGGAGACCCTAAAACAACTGGATACGAATTGGTTAACTTGTCACAATGGTCTCTCAATATTTATCCTATTTCAGGTACGCTATGTGACGTCTTAACGCAAGGACTTTGTGCGTGCACTGAAGATCCTTCTATCAGCCACAATACATATCTCACAAGGCATTGATTTTTTCATGGGAAAATTTTTTTCGTTAAAATGGCTAGGAAAAAGTCAAAACTTGTCTGAAGAAACTTCAATCGATTCTAAATGTTCCGTTTTTTTTCTTGAAAAGTGGAATGAGTACTTAGTTTGGAAAAATATTTACTCGTAGTATAACACCAGCGCTTATTTCGTAAAAAAAATTGATATTCTGGTAGCATTCCTTCGTAACTTAAACTAGGCAATTGAAAATACAGCCTTGTCTCGGTAATTGCTTAATTGAGACCATTTGTACGCTAATTGTTCCGGTTCAATTCGATGCTGAATATTGGCATAAACTAATAGTTTGCTCATCGAATACAAAAGAGGGCAGGAATTTGTCGAATTCAGATACTTACCAAACAAAATAAATTTCAACTAAATTTTTTAAACGCAATGAACTACAATAAATTGCAACTAATCGCAGCTAAAGAGCAAAAATAAAAGTTCTAAACATAAAAAATCACCACAATAAAAATCATTCAGTTTAATGGAAGGTTTCGCATAAATTTGTTGAAACTTCCAGTTTTAACAGAAACTAAAGCTGAGGAATTCTAAGTAGAAGCTAGTCGTATCGGATGATTCGACTGAGTTCGCTTCGTTTCTGACTGCCCGAGCCATATATCGGCTCATTGTTGTTTCGGTCGAGTGATAAGCTTCTTGAGGGTCTCCTGGTCTGGATCATAATCTTCATTTTGGGACTTCCAAATAAGGAAGGTAGAGAGAGTGTTCTGACGTCATCGAGTACTGTGGTGTTAGAGTCGCATTTGAAAAGTACAATTTGGGGTTCGAGATTAAAAGAGACGTTTTTTCGTCTGCTTCCAGATTGTCTGAAACATGCAAAAAAGTGATAACAGATTAGGATCGTGTTAACTATTTCCCTCTTTTGCAAAATTTACCATAGGGGGGGGGGGGTAGTAACCAAAATCCGATGATAATTTCAATGGACTTATTAAATATTTCAAAAATCACTCTGAAGATTTGAGGCTCCAAACGGCTGACCAATTTTTCTTGCTGGCTTTCTTGTATATTTTCAACTTGTTTGTGTAGTTAATATACTATTTCAATTTGATACGCCGACACAACTAATCCAGAAAAAATGAAAGCCCTCCCGCAAAAGTTCTGACAATTTTTGAGTTTTTCCCTGAGAACAAGTCAAAAAAACGAGACGCTAGAGCAGGGGCGGATCTAGGAATTTCTTGAAGGGGGGCAGACTTTTTTTAGTTCGACCAAATAGATTCTCCGAGCTCTTCCAAATCACTAAAAAGACCCTGTTTTGGGCAAAATTTCTGCGCCGCAGGCAAAATTTTCAAAAACAGGCCAAAAAAGGCGTTTTTAGGGACTTTTTGGAAAATTTTGACCAAAAGAAACGCGTTTTTCCGGCGAGCGCTCCTCCCTCAAAATTAGTACATATTGGCACCGAAGACGCTTTTGCTTTTCGAAAAGTTTTAGGGTGCATCTCCAAAAATGGGTATCTCAAAATAGTACAAAGGGGGGACCCCTTGGGTAGGCAGGGGGTCGAATCTCTGAGAAGAGAAGAAGCCAACGCCCCCCCCCATCCGCCCCTGCGCTAGAGAACTTTCAGTCAAATTCAAAAAAAAACGATGGACAGGACATCAATCAGTTTGGCGCTATTATTTCAAATTGAGCCTCGAATGTATCACATTATATTATGGTAGTGAATTTTGCATTTTAATTTGCAAGAGTTGTTTAGTTAATCAAACGCCGATGCTTTTAATCTATGTTTAATCCCTTCGGTAAACAGGATAGGCTTAAATTCAGTTTGAACTCAGGGTAAATTGACCTCTAGGCGAACAATTGAGTTGCAACGTAGAAAACGCCTTTTGGCCATAGCAATTACTGCGCTTTAAGTTCTTTCTTGGCGACCAGAAATAAAATAAGCCCCCTCAAAATATAGCTGGAGACCCTCAAATCAATGACTTGTCAACTTATAACCATCAGTCCAAATCGAGAAAAAAGCGTATTTAATTGAAGCAACTCACGAAGATTTGTCGGTCGGACAGGACTTAGTTGAATACTGCGAATAAGCCGAGTCGGAATCCGAATCCATCTCGTCGGCGCTTCTCGTCTCCTCAGTTATGCCAACTACACTATTCGGCCGTCTGAACCGAGAACTCAAACTATACTTCATCTTACGTGTCTTCGCAACTGTAACTCCTGACAGACAGTTCTCATGGCCACAGTGGCAACTGATTGCCTCATTTGTTGGTACTTGTGAAATCTTTCCTGAATGCTGATTGGTTGAAAATCTATGACTAGATTGACTATTTTTAGCAGCTATTTGAGAACTGGATTCGCTTAAATTAAGTCCGGGTATTTGTGAGGTATAAACGATTTCCTTTTCCGGGGTAGAAATTGTCGATGATGACGCTGCGTCCTGACACTCAAGATCCGGGTTCGAATCCGGCTCGTCACCAGGTGGTACTAATTGCACTTCAACATAGTCGAGTAATTGGTTTGTTTTGCAGAGGACAAATTTTCGAATCGAAAACGAAAACATTCGATCCATTTCTACTCACAATATTGCAAATTAACTCTGTTTATTGTTTTCAGTTAGTTATAACGGGCGTGGCTGCGGTAAAAATTATGTTACTGGTTATTAGAACTGACATCAAATACGATTTTATTTATAACAGATCTCAAAGCTAGTTGAAGATTAATCAATATGATCAGAATTTGTTATGGCGCATTTACTGAAAAGGTGTTGACTTTTTAATCAGTTAAAGCGTAACTGATTGGTTAATAACCCGCAAGTAAAAACTAATTCGGGTCAACTTTATGGACCGATTGATTGGCATTAGCTTACATAAGTCGATATTTTGATATTTGGACTTCAACTTTTGGGATTAAAATTAATGAGTAGTTTGGACGTGAACAACTAATTTTGATTTAACGAAGTCAAAGGTAATGTTAATAATAGCTATTCCTGCCGATTTTAGTTATAAATGTTGATATAAATGTCTGGGTATGAGCAAAGGTTGGCTAATATTTGAACCTTCTTGACTTTTTTCAGGCCATCGAAACTTATGGGCGAATTAAATCAAATATTTAAATTGCAGTGGAAACTTTTATTATATTTTATAAAATATAAAATTTCATATTATCGAATTCGCCAGTGTGAACACGCATAAATGAATTATACTCTGTGACGTAACTTACGCACAATCGGTGTGAACAAACAATTCTGAATTATACTATTACGTAACTTATATCATCTCAACGCAAAAAAAATTCATTTTGTTCAAGTGTAAGTGTAACTCAATATTTGTTCACGCCAAGTTTAGACTTCGGATTAGGCAAGAATCTAACACTACTACAAGCGTTGAACTCTAAAAGAACATGTTACAACATAAATTGAACTCACTCCATCTTATATGATATGGTATCATCTTTTAATTTGTTCACGTATTTTATGGAACGACGCGCCCTAATGGTCCAATTGAATATGACCACCCCCTGTCATTAATCATCGTAAATTCGCCGATAAAGTTTCGCACTTTGAACCCAAAACAGTCCTTAGCCCCAGAACATTAGATTGGCAAATTCAGTATCGTCAATGCTGATTAACGACCGCTAGGAATGGTGATTTCAAAATTCAGTGCGACCTTAGAAAACCTCAGAAATATACCTCATCAGTTAAATTTCAGATTTGTGGAAACTAGTTCAATTTGAGTTAATCTCAACCGACATTAATTAACTGCCTGATTCTCTCAGCAAATGCTTTTTTACCGAGTTTTTATATAATGAGAAAAGGTTTTTCTTCCAGCAACTCCAGCAGAATTCAAAATAATCTCGTTATTGGTTGAAATAAGTATTATGAAAATGAACATCGGGAGCGGAAAGTACAAGACGGGTTTCACTGACATTTATTACAATCCATGTTTTAGCCATTTCGACCAATTATTTACGCAAAATTTCCAGTTTCAAAACAACATTCGGGAAAATTCTGCTCCACTTTTCCGCCAATTTTTCCACTCCTTTTTGATTTCAAAAGCTGCAAACAGAACATTAATGATGACTTTATCATTCAATTTTCACTTGAATGTTCTTTATGAATTCGAAAAAGTTCAAACAAAATTTAGCACAGAGGCGAAGATGAGTTGCACATTGCAAACACAAGCGAGAAAACTACCAAAAGCTTCCCTCAAACCTGGAAAAAAAACAAAAACTAGAAAGAGGCCTCGAATTAGTAAAACTTTTCCAATGTGTCGGAATCGTAAATGCGGTTTTCGGTTTTATGATGTGTGGCAACAAGTTCTCGATTCTCCGCCACAGACCATTGAAAACTTCTTAATACTAGTCACCAGTAAAGCAGCAAAAAGCCACCAAAAATAAACAAGACTCACATATATAGGCAAAGACAGCCAATTAATCCATATCGAATAATTTTTGAGAAAGAATGGAAAAAATATAAACTTTTGACAGAATCAAAGATCAAGAGTAAAAATTGAGTCGTACAGACTTAATATGATCGATTAGCTAGCCTCAATTCGACTTGAACGATTTTCTTGTCCGGGAGTATTCGCCACGCATAAACAATTCGCGATGCGCTTTCAGTATTAAGAAGCTTCAAAACGCTCATGATTTAGTCCAGAGCATAACCAAATTGGCAATTTTCAAATTCTCAGAACTTTAGAAAAAAAACTTTTTATCTTTGATTTCATGGAGTCAATATCTTTACTGGGCATAAAAAATTTTTGTCAAAAAATATTATTTCGAGCGCCGAAAAATTGACTGAAAAAAAAATCAACTCAAACATAAATATTCTCTTTTCTTCTAGTCCGAACAATAAAACTACTCTTAAGTGCGAATTAAACACCTGGCCAGTAGATTAGGAGTTTCACGTCCTTCCATCAGTGCCACGATTGCATGACAATCAGCAAGCACTATGCTCCAATACAGCGTAAACGGATGCCATGAAATTTCCTAAGTTACAGATCCACCAATTGAGCAATTTAATTTATATATACTTACAGGCATTACTTAACACGCTTAGAACTAGAGCTGCTAACACCAGACGTTACTTGTTTCAAATCAATTTTAACCCACCTCAAACAACGGTTTACTATTCAAGAAGTGTCTATGATGTGAAAAAGCAACAAAATAACCTTTTGTCCAAGTGAAAATCTTGAAAAAGCTCTATGACATAAAAAACTCATAACTCATTTTGAGAGACAAATCAGCAGCCCACGCCTGTTTTCTGTCAGTAATTTTGATTTTCGAGAGTAGTCTTTAAACAAAATTAGACAAATGGAACCAAAAGAAAAGAAAATTCGGAACCTACGAGAAAAATTATCGGAAGTTATAGAGTTGCTACCAAGTCCTCAGAGTGCGCGTATAAATTTAAAATATGCCGAGTTAGTAACTATTTTCAGAATTTAAAAAAGCTGATAACTCGATTGGTTTTAACGATCAAAATCGTTGTTTTGTTCTCACCGAAAATTTGGTACGGATAGGTTGACCCAAATTTACTCTGGAGCTTGAGTGTAATTTGAGGGTAAAAGAGCAGATAAGTTTGAAAGTTTTAAAACCTTTCATTTTCACCATTTGACATCTTACTTTGCCTTTTTTTGAAATGAACAAACAAAGGAAGAGTTTTTGAGGTTTCAGGCAAAACTCAAATTGAGAGAACAAAAACTTAATTTAAAAATTCAAAAAAATCTACTTGAATATTAAAAATTAACGTTCGTTAACGCATAATCAAATAAAAAAACATAGCCAACAGCCAGTAGTGAAGTGTACACCTATGCAAAGAATCTTCAAACTTATTAAAATTTTTACTTTAATTTCGAAAACTCGAGCTTTGAGGCCATTAAAAAAATGGCCTCAAAGCTCTGAAATTCAAGAACTTGCGATAGAATTTTCAGATATAATTAACACAGTTGAGCAAGGTGGATCAATAGGTAAGTTTATCACTCCACTGGAAGATCTAAAAATGAAAGGCACTTTCAAAACCAGAAGTAGTTCAATTAATTTCGCGCCATTACACTTTCGTAATCGTAAAACGTAATTTGCCCTGCTTTTAACAATTTAATTTTAATTTAACTCAACATTAAATCAAAAGTAAGACTGCAGATCAAACTTCGTGTTAATCACTATATTCACTGACTCTCTAAGTGGAGTTTGCCTTTCTTTTTCATGAAAAAGAATGAGAAATTGACAGTCAAACCGCCAAAAATCTGAAAAAAAACAATCATCACGACTTATTACATAGAAGTCATCACTTTTATGACAGTCAATTGACGTAGCTTTAAGTTAGCCTGACCAATACATAATTATTCCGCGGCTACTTCACAAATAAAACTACAAGAAACGTGTTTCACGCCTTTTTCACAATGGCCCTCTGGGATATACTTTATAACTTATACAAGAGCTTATCACTTGATTATTAAAAACGCCCATGGAAAGTCCAACCAAAAAATAAAAAAGATTTCAATCTTTTTGCTATAAGAAACTGGACGACATTCATGTATCAATAGTAACACATGCACTGCTTTTAAACTTCTGCCAAATCAATGGGAGCTGCCTAGTTAAAAAACTATAAATAATAATAAATTGACATTCTTAATTGAATTTATTTCTAAAGCACACAGATATCTACAACTATTCGACTCAATTATTACTGCACATAATTTATTATCTGCTGCTGTGTTGCTTATTAATTTTAATAAATCAGTCCAATTATTAACTTGAGCTGAGTTGAGCATTGTGTTACTGCGTGAGAGAAAACTGCTATATTTACAAAACACTGTTTAATATTCAGTTTAAAACAGAATAAATTAGAATGATAATTTAGATGAGATCGAATTTAATTTCATGTTTTATGCACCATTTTCCACATGGCAATGCAACGTAGAATTGCGAGAAATTGTGGAGTAGAAACGATATTTAAACTTATTAGTAAACTCGGCTGAAAAATTATTTCTTAAGAACAAGTATGAAACATAGCCAACAGACAGTCGAAAAAGAGTCATGAATGTAAGGAAATAGAAAAAAATACTGACATGTTTTGAAAAAACTTCAAATTTCAAAAAAAAAAATGGCCATGAAACTCTTTGAATTTCAAGAACAAACTATGACACTTTTTCGATTAAATTAACCCAATATGAAAAAACTGGATTAAAAATTTTTTTTATTCTGCTGGGAAATCTAAAACAAATTTCGATTCGGCCGGATTTCTAAAATGCTAAAACGCTTACAGCAACAACAGTGAAAATTGTTTACAGCAAAAAAAAAACGATTTTTAGATCTGGCAACTAAGCCGACAAACATAAGCAGACAAATATTAGCCTGAATTTTTTTGAACCGGAACAATTAGTTTGAAAAAAAAAAACAGACACTAGTTACCTCCAGGCTAAAAGTGCAAGAGACACTAAGAAACAACAATTCAAAATGAGCCAAGGTTCCACGAGTCCAGATGAGTCTTGTGGACACAGCTGCTTAGGGGGAAAAGTCTAGTACCCGATTGGAATACCCTTGCTTATCGCGAGGGTAAAAAACAGCTATCTGAAAACGATTTTAAGGAAGAAATCAAACTATAATTGAACCAACGGGAAAAATTTTATAAGTAAAAAAATTGACCTTTTGATTGAGCAAAAATTCACCCTATTTTTCAAAGTAAAGCGCTGAAATTTCGGAAAAGCGATTCATACTTGTACACTTAGAAGATTCATAGAATAAATTAAACAAATTACAATCTAAACACATAGTGCTTATAGGTGACTTCATACAGCGGATTAGGCCAACTTTTTCACAACCAGAAACTTAGGATGATAATAAAAACCTTGAAAATAGTTTTACCAAAAACTGATCACAATTTCATTTTTTCTTATTTCAAATCTAAATTCTAAACTCCCTGGGAATGGCGTTAAACCTAATCCGTTTTATGCCATCTAAAATGTGAGCAACACGGAAAATCCGTTATATCAAAGTTTTAATAACAGTAGTACATTGAGATGAGTAAATCATAAACCTGACTCTTCATTCAAAATTGTCATCAATTTCATATCCTTTTTACGAGTCAGATTTTTACAGTTTCCACGAATAACAATAACTATCTCTCTCGAACTTCCAAACAAAATTTGGTTTAGAAAATGTTGACTATGTAAACATTTAATCTAAAATGTAGTTGGACTAATTTATTGCACGAATCTTAGCACGGCATTTTTTCATACAAATTAAATAATTCACAAAGATAATGTGATTAAATTAAATAATTTTCGACAAAAAGTCAAGCGCTATTTTACAGTTATTCCTATTATGGGTCAGCAACTTCAATATAAATTGGCAAGTTCTTTGCTGGCTTTTCCACAATTCGATTAGATTCGAGATGAGCGAGGAATCTATGATCCAATTACGTCACCATGATTTCGTCTGTTTCATTACGTAATCGAATCGTTGCATTTTGTGTAGTCAGACAATTGCGTAATCACATTTGAAGTCCTTGTGGGTTTTTCCAATGCAAAATTTGATCCTCATTTCTATACGGGGCGAATAGCATTTCGGGAATATTGAACATTTAATAAATTAATTTACAAATTAAACAGTTAAAAAGGGTTGAATCACCCAAGTGGAATAATGTCTGGCTAGTTTCATAAGAAGGATAAGAGAAGAAATTATAACATATTACTTAATATGCAACTGCAAAGTGATCAAAATTCGTGATAAAAAATCAATATTTCCAAAAAATTGGACCAAAACAGCTCTGTAGCATAAAACACTGACATCGACTGTAACAACTACTACTCTATTTCCGACAAGAATTTCTGTCGTCCACTAATCGTATTTATTCCAGATAAAGAAATAAGTTCGATCTTCAGTGTAAGTCAGACGATCATTTCTGGAAATCGTTTAACTTTTGTAGTCAGTTTTCTTTAATAGCATATCTTAACGACTCGGTCTTCGTCAGTGGATTACTGAGAGCCGGTAGATGCGGCCGAACTGCTCTCGGATCCAGGACGAAGCAGTCCCGAGATGTCCATGCTTCTCTCCCGTGCAATCTCAGTCCATCGTTTGTCGTCGCTCTCGTGTGTGAGGTATCTCTGGCCCACTTTCTGTTCCAGCTTGCGAAGGTCACACCACATCAAAATATCCTAGAAGATAAAATCAACAAAAATGAATGCTGATGATGATTGGCTATTTTTTTTCTAATTATCGTCAAATATCCTAGATTAGAATTCAATGCCCGACCGAAAACCTATCGCGCAACAAGTTAAGAATCCAAAAAGTTGTCTCGACAATAAACCCCCAGTTTTACAAAATTTTTAGCAAACAAAATTGATCACCACAAACAGTTATTTACATAACATTTAGATAACATAGCCAAGAGCAGTTGGTAAAAAGTCAATGAACGCAAGTAAGCAAAAAAAACTCAATTTTTTAGTTTCAAAGAAACAATTGATGCCCTTATAACTTTTTGAATTTTTGGAACAATTTATGATTGGGACTTTTGATAAAACTATAAAACTAACCCAATCTGAGAAAATTGGATCAAAAGGTAAATTTTTTATTTCGCTGGGAGCTGATTTTCTTATTTCGCTGGAAATGAACTAACTTAAACAGCAATCACAAAACAAACTACAAAAAAAAAACTTGAGCGTGAACAAATTGTAATACTTTTCCTGAAAAAAAAAAGAAAAATTCATAGCAACCTATATAAAGGTCAAACTAAGTGATCACCGACTCTTAATAATCTTCTCATTCTGAATATTAGTATAAAGGACCAAAATTATTTACCTGCATCCAGACGTGGGCAAGACTCTTGTCGACAGTGAATCGCTTTCTGATCTTCACTTGCAGTAGATTGTTGATCAGGTCAATCGCTAAAACACGCATGGTGGTGGATGAAACTGAGCATGTAATAATTCTTTAATTTTCATTATTTAAGTTATAAAGCTCAACACAGATAACCTATTTTTCTACCGATTTGTTCGACGGGGATATTTACCCCTTTCTTAATGATTTTTATCCTGGACCAAAATCTTTATTCAAGAAGCAAGTACTTCTAAAATGCCAAGCTGTTGCCGTGCGGCAAAACTGCGGAACCCGCATGTAGTGTAAGGCTCACAAAAAAGATTTCGTAGATTTCAATTCAGCGCTGTCTTATTTAATCTTTTTAGAGACGTAGAATCCAGTGACAAATGATTAAAACCAAATGCAGCTCCAATAACAAGGACAGCCGGTTACTGTACATGTAGCACAGGATGTTCCGACCAGTCTTTTTCTCATGGAGTCGTTTTCTTTCTGTATGTTGTGATGAAAAAATCTGAACGAAAAAATAGAATTTAGGCATATTTGAGTGTCATAGTAAAATAGGTCAATTGGAAAACAATTTTTGAAAAAAAAAACGACTAGAAGAACGAAAAAAAAAATTAAAATTTGAATCAAAAGTTTTTCTGCAGAAGTTTTTTGAATTTTCAGGTTTTTGATTCCCAAAATTGCGCTAAAAACTGCAAAAACTACCTTAACTCGAGTAAAACTAAGTTTTCACGGCTTAAATTAAGCTTAAGTAAGCTATTGTAAGCCTACATTGTCACCTTATTAGTTCAAATAAGACCAAAAATCAAAAATTTCAGACCGGTTTTTCTCGTCACTGTGAAAACAAATTGCAACATTTTTTAATGTCGTTGAAATCAAGACTGAAAGGGCTTTCATGTCATATAACACTCGATCCATTCCGATGATTATTTGTGGTACCTGATTTGGCGCGAAAAACAAAAAGAAAAAACTTAAAGACACCCGAATACAAAGTTCCTCCCCATTTTAATGATCGGAACAATAAACTCAACCTGTAAAACTTTTGCAATCCATAAATTTTCGGAACAACAAATCAAACAATAGTCGTGCAATCTGCATAAGGATTAGCGAGACCGCATTTGTGCGGAATCGAGAACACATTTGGGCGGAACTATTTCATGTTTAAACGCAATCTTTGCCATTTATTGTGGAATCCCATGACTCGCAAACTAACTTTACTCCGTTATCCGCAACGAAAGATTGAATTTTTATAATGAATGTATTTTAATAGCAAACTAACTTTACTCCGTTTTCGCAACGAAAGATTGAATTTTTATAATGAATGTATTTTGCTTAATTGCCTTTTATCAGTGCTTGCTCTCATTCAAAAATGCTCTTTTTCCTTTTGCCCCACCTCCCTTAAGTATCAATTTTATGGTGTAGCAAATGGATTTACAAGTTTGAGTATGAAGAGACCAAAAATCTTTGTCATGATTAATTATGCCACAGTCGCATGCCAATTTTCAAAAAAAAATGGGACAGATGTCATGACCGCATGCCAATTTTCATAAGAGTCAGACAATGTAAAGAATCATTTTACTTACAAAAATTAGCAGGTAGGGTGAGGGGGAGAGAAAAAGCGCCAAAGACAGCAAGTTGTTTTCATTTCAAGATCACTTTCAGCAAACTTCTCAAAAACAAGCGACAAAATGCCAAAACTTAGCTCCACAAAAAAATAAGAAAAGAAATTGCAAAAACAAGGTTTAAATACGATAAAAACCGCCATGACAAGGAATCGAACCGCAAACCTGTAGACTAAGAGTCACCGTCAACTTGAAAGTCTCCCCCCTAATGTTCGATAATTGCGGTTTAATGATTGTTAATATCAACTAAAACCCAAATCTATCAGGTGTATACTTAAATGACTGCAAATTTCAATTTAGAGCCTGAAATTGTCTCATTTGTGCCTTTTTTAAAGCTCAATGCAAGAAAAGACAAGAAGCAGAAACAATTGTATTATTCTCAAACGCGATCTTTAACACGGAAATATGGTAGAAGGGTGCTTTTTGAATCTGAGTGCGCAGGTGGGTATTATTATTATTATTAGCTTTGATTAATACTCATAAATCTATTCAAAAATATTGTTTCATGGCCTCAGCCATTATTAAACAATAAACAAAAAACTTTGCGGTAAAATCCTTAGCTTCATTGAAAATAATATGAGGCTCGAACCAACCCAAAAATCAAAACTTAGCCAACAGACAGTTGGAAAAGAGTCATGAACGCAAGGAAACAGAAAAAAAACTTACTGTTTTTTGAAAAAAAAAAAATTCAACTTTCGAATTTCGCAAAAAAAATATGGCCCTTAAGTTCCTGAAATTTCAAGAACAATTTATCATTGACATTTTTCTAAAATAAAATAACCCAACTTGAGAAAACTGGGTCACTAGCTAAAATCATTTACATTTTCTCGAATTAATGAAACATCGAGTTTACCGAAGCCTATCTTTTACCATAACTACCCAATAAACAAGCCCAATATCCAAATCAAAGTCTATGGAAGAAAAAGACAAACTTTCGTCAGGGTCTTAAGTAACATAAGCATTTAGATCAGAAGGAACTTTTCTGTAGTTCGGACATGCCACATTTATTTTTACCTTCTCTCGATATCTCCCTCCAGGGATTGGCCGGGTACATGAAAGCGGCATTTTGGATCTGATCATTGATATCCTCGTCTTCGTTGAAGGGAAAAGTGCCGCTCAAACTGAAACAAAGCTATTATTAGAATTATTATTTATAAACTGCGATTATTATAATTTTTGTTTCAATACTGAGTCATATACCATTATAGCCTTTCTATCACACCAACGACTTAGCAAACTATACTCTTAGCATACCCCAAAATATGAACTAAATATTTACAAAAGGTTGGGGGATTATAATGAGAAATAGCAAATTATTGCGAGGAATAATTAATTAGCAGTCCAGATTTCTAAAATGGAAAGCACGACATTAAAGACATGATGAAATTCAGTTGCAAGCAATAGATTGTTAAAAGACTGAACTATTCCTTGTATTTTATTAAAATGACAAAAGATTTTGGAGCACAGAATGTTCTGAGCGCGATTATCTTACATCGCAAAGAAAAAAGAAAAAAGTTTTGCATAAAGGTTTTCGTCAATAAACAATTTGTTTTTCGTGAACAAGCAAAATGATCAATTTGACTATTTCGATTTGAATTGTATTGTCTGAGATATTATTATAGAACAACAAAATTCAATTCAACTTCGAGGTTTCATTGGAAGGCTGGCATTGGAAGATAATTCATCTTCAAAGGATGAAACGAGTTTAAGGTCATGAAGGTTAAGGTCAACATAGATTAGATATGAAACCGGACATTAGATGACAAATTATTTTGATAATGCTCAGCCGAAATAACATTCTAATTCCATAAAAGCTGTATGAAGCTTCGTGTTGTTGTATTTACGGTACGTGTCTTCGTTCAAACGATCGGTTTACTCTGTTTTAGAGGGGTTGAAATTTCTTGACCAAAATGGCTTTTTTCTTTGAAGAAGGGTTCAAATTTACCTGAAATCTACCGAAAATTTGGATCAACTCTGATTAATTTCATGCCAAAACCAACCTAACAGAGCCAACTTGCAATTCGAAAAGAATAATGAACGCAACGAAACAGAAAAAAAATTGACTTGTTTTTTGAAAAAATTTCAGCTTTTGATTCGAAGAAAAAAAAAGATGGACTTGAGGCTCATTGAATTTGTAGAACAATTTATGATAGACACTTTTTTGATAAAATAGAACCAATTTGAGAAAACTAGATCAATAGGTCAAACTTTTATTTTGCTGGGAAATCCGATAAATAATTACCATTTCCAAAATAACAATCGATCACGTTTTTCGTGACCTTTACATTTTTGCTGTTCGATAGTGGAGTTTGCGTTTCTTTCAGCAAAACGAACAAAGTGAACTGAAAAAGAAATCAAAAGTCAAACCGCAAAAAATCGAAATTGAACGTGAATAAATCACCAATTCCTGACAAAAAAAATCACCAAGACCTATATAAGAGTACTCACTATCACTACGTACATTACAACTAAAAATTTCGTGACATGCAATGATAGTAATTGAATGCAGATGTAATTGAAGTTTTTTAACGTTGAAAAACTAATAGGAGCCCTTGAAAACATAGTCAACCGACAGTTGAAAAAGATTCATTGAACGCAAGGAAGCAAAAAAAACTGACTTATTTTTGAAAACATAGCCAACAAACACTTGGAAAATAATCAGTGACCGAAAGTAAACAGAAAAAAAATCAACTTTCGACTTTTAAAGAAAAAATATATAGCTCTTGGAATTTCACGAAAAATTCATGATAGATTTTTCAAATCAACCCAATTAAAAAACTTGTAGAAAATCATAAAATTTAAGTCCAATTTTGGAACTAAAAGTCAATCAATTTTTTTGCGCCAATAGCATTTTCCTTTTTAAATACCGCTATTTGATTAGTTTGCAGCAAATGATTTTCAATGTAAATTACTATTGAATGAAAAACATTTTTTTATTCTGATCGAAAATCTATAAATGAAAATCCACTGCCGAAACTAGAAATCCGTCACGTTTTCTTGGCCTTTAATTTTTCATTGTTCGATAATGGAGTTTGCTTTTTAAGCGTGAACAGATTTAAAGAAAGTTGACCGTGAACAAATTTGAAGACTTTTTCCTTAAAAAAGCAAAAAAATCTTTACGACCTGAGTCTTCACTACGTTCGGTGATATCTAAAAATATTGGAAAAAAATAATAGTTAGGGTCCAGTTCAAAAGTGCCACAGAACAAGAGCGTCGATAAAACTAAATCGCTGGCAAGAAAAAGTTCTAATCGTTAGTCAAAGCAATTAAGTTTTCAAAATCGGCGTCCTAAACTAACAACCTTTTGAGGAAACAATAACCCAAAAATTGCGCAAACTGGCTTCAGCTTTCGGTTCTACGATTTTAAACAGAAGGGAAGTTGCACTTTGCAAACATTAGCGCAAAAATGCAAGAACTAGCCTCACAAAGGTAAATTGTCGCCAACAGCCATTTGAAAAAATAAGAATGAAAGCAAGGAGACTGAAAAAAATACCGACTTTTTAGAAGGTTTTTCAAAATTTGAAGAAGAAAAATTTGGCCTTGAAGCTCGTTGAATTTCCAAAACAAATTATGATTGACAATTTTTAAATTAAATTAACCCAAGGTGAGAAGACAAGATCAATAGGTAAAACTTTTATTTCGCTGGGAAACCTGAAAATTAACCTCCACTTTCGAAGCTAGAAGTCGATCACGTTTTTCGTGAGCTTTACACTTTCGTTGTTCGATTGTGGAGTTTGCCGTCCTGTTAACAAAGGGACTTTTCCTGAAAACAAAAACATAACTACCTATACGAGAGTCTTCACCACTTTCAAAGACACTATAAAAAAGAAAGGTAAAAAAATATCAAGGAGATTTGAAAAATAAACGCCTCCACAGAAATCAAATCAGAGCCCCCGATCATCCAAGTTTACTGCCCTAAAAATTATGCTTCTGACGCTTAAAGCACCGAAAAACCAGCTTATGATAAAGCTGAGGACATATGTTAAATTGCCAATACTGGGCAGCAAAAATTCCCCAAAATGGACACTACTTTTTGCGAGTTGTCTGTGAAAACGTTGAAGCGTAATATAACAAATGGCTCGCAAGCTTGTTTTATTGAAGAAAACTGAAAATAAGCTACCAAATAACGTTCATTTATCAAACTCTTGATCTTCGGCATGTCATTGATCAAACTTTTTGTTTTCAAAACTTATGACTTCGGCACTTTCGAACCACCTCAGTTAGCAACGAATGAAAATACAAATTGTGTTCTCGGAACGTCGTTCTCACAAATTTGTTTTCATGTACAATATTTTTAATATTCGCTTTTTCTCAAGCCTTGCATCAATTTTTAACAGCCAACGTTAACAAAAGCAATTTAGATCAGCGGACAGATAGTTTGCATTATTGAGAACAGACAGTTAGGTTAAACAGAAACATGCAGACCTGATTCGACCATGATATTTAGTCCGTCTAGTCATCTACAGACAACCTTCGACTGGCGAGACGATTATCACGTCAAGGTATTGTGTAGCTCAAGGCTATGCCATTCTAACAAAACAAAAAAGAACATGCAAACATGCAGGCAATGAATTGAAATAGTTTTGATGGCTGAAGATTGAAAGCTACAACTAATTAAGATCTGTGAACCAAAACCCCATAGGACATTGTCGTCCTTAACATTAAAAAAAATTGAAGGAATAATTTAATTCTCTACAGAAACCAGTGTTATGCTCATTGTACGTAAAAGAATTTGCTATTTTAACCCGTCGTGACTTTTTGCGTTTCGAACCATTCAGTGTTTCTAATTTCTTGTTAAGTCTAATTTTGCAATAATTATCCGCGACCGATGCAATAATACAACTGAGCTTAAGCCAATAATGTCAGACGGTTACAAACGGTTGGAAAAATTATACAAAATGATGCTTCATTTTATATTTTGACAAATTTCAAAGATCATGCAGTAACATGGAACATGAAGTTTGCCTGTTAAATAGGAAACTGAAAAAAAAAATTGAAAAATAGCATGAAGAAGTTCGACCGACACAGTTAATCAAAAACTTTTAAGAAACCTCTACATATGAACTATTTCTCAGACTGAACTAATCTGAAACATGCTCTGCATGCAAAACTTTATCAAAATAGGTAGGTTGCTCTTTACAACTAAATCTATGAGACCAAACTTTTTGCAACTTACGATATGATTTAAAAATTGTTCAGGCTGACCTGACGTATATGATGACTCCAACAGACCACATGTCTAGACTCTTGTTGTAGCCCTTGTTTCTCAGCACCTCCGGGGCCAGGTAGGCAGGTGTTCCCACTACACTCCTGCGGAAACTCTTCTCCTCTATGATACGGGCGAAGCCAAAGTCACACAGCTTCACCTGTAGCACACAAAACACAAATAATTCCCCCAGAGCAATACACAAAACTTCAGAATTACAAAAAGACACTTCTGAAGTAATAACTATGTTAGACTGGCCAAAAGTCTCGATGCAATCTTATTCTGTTTAAACTTAACATTCCAGACTTAATACTTCATTTAATGAGCAGCACTGTTTTCTTCATGGCTTGAAACTGAAAACTCAGTTGATACATAGAAACTGTCACAGTAAAGGGAATGGGAGCAATAACAACTCATCAGCCGAACGACAATAAATATCAATAAACAAGTTCATACCTTTGGGAATGAGTCATCTGAGGAGAGGAGAACATTTTCTGGTTTGAGGTCACAGTGCACAGTGTTGATTGAATGGAGGAACTTGAGGGCTGCCAGAATCTGAGCCACCAGGAACCGAGTGATCCTCTCCGACAGCCTCCCTATTGAGAAAAAATAAAGCAATCTAATAAAAACATAGCCAACAGACAGCTGGAAAAAAGTCAACAAAAAATATTACTTGTTTTTAGGAACAATCTCAACGTTCAAACTTCAAAGAAAAAAGTTGGCCCTGAAGATCTTTGAATTTCCCGAAAATCTAATGATTGACATTTTTTTAAGACACAGGCGAAGCACGACAAAAAGCAGCTCTAGAAAGAGCAGTAAAAAATTAGAAATAAGCCTCGAATTAGTAAAAATTCGGCTACCTCTAAAATTCGAACCTGCGACCTAGAGATCAAGAGTCTCACACACTAACCACTCAGCCACGGAAGCTTAATAGTCACCAAACACTAGCCACAAATAAAGCAGAGAACAGATGCTGTGCAAATTCCAAATAAGTGAACACTTTTAATGAACACTTTTATTTGCGAGTTAGGCTAAAAAAAAAGAAGGTTTGTAATTATACACTAAGCTGATTGCAACTATAAAAACTGGATCAATTGGTAAAAAAAATATATATGCCGCTGGAAAATCTGCAAATTAAAATCCAGTTTCGAACTACAGATCGATCACGTTTTTTGAGAGCTTTACACTGTTGCTGTTCGATAAGGACGCTTGCCTTCCTTTTAACAAAGGAAATGAACCGAACTTGAGAAAAACCAAACGTCGAACCGCTAAAAATCAAATTTGAGCGTGAACAAATTTTACACAGAGGTGATACAAAAATGAATGACTATGATTAAAGTCAAATGAAAAGAAAAAAACTGCAGCAAAAACCCAAAATCGTTGGAAGAAAATACCTGCACCATTAGAAACTTAACAAAAAAATTTCGGATAGCCAGAAAGAAACAGATTTTAAGTCCTTTCTGCGGAACTAGGACGAAAAAATAAGCAGACAGACAATAACCTAAGCAAGCTGAAAATTTCCAGCTTTCTTAAAAACAGGTCTCGACTGGAATCAAACTCCCGGACTGGAATTGAACTTTGTCGTCCCAAGCACGGACATTACAGCAAATTGGAAGAAAGCTGATCCTTCGAAAGCTTAGCCAATTGATTTTTGGAAAAAAAGTAATGAACGCAAGGTAACCGGAAAAAGACTGATTTTTTGAATTTCGAAATAAAAATTATATGGCACCAACCCTCTTCGAAATAGAATACGAACTTATGTTTGATTTTTTTTTGATAAGATTTACTCCATTTGAGAGAGTAGATTAATAAGTAAAATTTATATTCCGCTGGGAAACCTAAAAACTAAATTCCTCTTTAGAAGTCGTTAACTTTTTTTTCGCACCATGTCCACATTCGTAATTGGAATCTGAAATTCACTTAACTTTCAGCATTTTAGAAATTTTTCCGGAAAAAACACAAGGTAAAGAAATCACCAAGAATTATTAAGAGTCTACACTACTTATTACTCTTCACACGATTGAAAAGTAATAACAACCATAACCAAAAAAAACAATCGCAGTTAAAATTGTGAGCAGAAGAATCCTGTTTCTCACAAAGTTTACTCACCCAAAGTCCGAAAAAAGGTAAAAGTTCAGGCCAATTTTTCTTGATACAGACAACGTTTTTTTAACACAGAGGAGCTTCGCACCACTTGCAATACAACACTCACATAAAATGAAAACATAAAAAACCGAAAAAAGTCACATGTCTCGAAAGAAGTTCATTCCACGCAAACATGCCTTGCATTTGATTTTTAAATCAGCAAAAATGGACAACGGAACAAAATTTACGAAAAGAAACAAAGCCGACAATCTTTGAGCAGACACAAGTTGAGCCGAAAAAAAATATGCTTGTGTAAAAAAAGTTTAAAACCTCACCCAACTTTGAAATTCAATACGAAAATATGTTTGATTTTTTTTAAATAAGATTTACTCTAATTTAGTATGTAGATTATTAAGTAAAATTTAGATTACGCTGGGAAACCTAAATAATAATTTCCTCTTTAGAAGTTTTAAACGTTTTTTCGCACCATTCGTATTTAGAAAGTGGAATTCACCTAATTTTCAGCAGATGATTATATATTTAACTCAAGAAGTGCATACAAATATAAGTGCATTCACAAAAGCAAAAATAATGTATGAACGCACACCTGTAGTTATAAAGATCACTTCAGAAATTTTTCCGGCAAAAAAAAAACAAATTAGAGAAATCACTAAGAACTATCTAAAATTCTTCACTACGTTTGTTGCCCTTAATAACGTAGTGAAGAACGTAGTGTATTACAAGTGTAGCTTCGCACCACTTGCAATACAACACTCACATAAAATAAAAACATAAAAAACCGAAAACGAAAAATTTTGAAAAAAAAATCACATGTCTCGAAAGAAGTTCATTCCACGCAAACATGCCTTGCATTTGATTTTTAAATCAGCAAAAATGGACAGCTGAACAAAATTTACGAAAAGAAACAAAGCCGACGATCTTTGAGCAGACACAAGTTGAGCCGAAAAAAAAATGCTTGTGTAAAAAAAGTTTAAAACCTCACCCAACTTTGAAATTCAATACGAAAATATGTTTGATTTTTTTTAAATAAGATTTACACTAATTTAGTATGTAGATTATTAAGTAAAATTTAGATTACGCTGGGAAACCTAAATAATAATTTCCTCTTTAGAAGTCTAACGTTTTTTCGCACCTTTCGTATTTGGAAAGTGGAATTCACCTAATTTTCAGCAGATGATTATATATTTAACTCAAGAAGTGCATACAAATCTAAGTGCATTCACCAATGCAATAATAATGTATGAACGCACAGCTGTAGTTATTAGAGCACTTCAGTAATTTTTCCGGCAAAAAAAAACAAATTAAAGAAATCACTAAGAACTATATAAAATTCTTCACTACGTTTGTTACCCTTAAAAAGTCCGGCTACGGGAATTGAGTCGACCAAAACAAACAAAAGATAGTCAGAAAAGCTCAAAAAAACTTGTTTAACAAACAGGTCCTGGTCGGATTCGAACCACAAAGCTTTGCCGTCTCAAGCAGCCGTGTTACTTCTTGGACATATGCAGAAGAAAATTCTTAAATTTTCAATTACCAAGAGGTAACATAGCCAAAAATACATGAGCAGGAACCCTCCATTCCAAAAAAAAACTTAAATTTCTGAGCTGCTAAAAAAACTCGAAGTCCCTCTTCCTCTCAGAACACACTCGCACAAAAAGTGTTTTCGGTCATCCAACGACGCAACAAGAGACCACCAAGTCATTATAAAACACAGTGGCAAAACTGCCAGAGTCATACTAATACGCTAGTCTGGCAAGCTCGCTAGTGTAAACATAGCCAACAGACAGTTGGAAAAGGGTCAATGAACGCAAATAAACAGAAAAAAATACTGACTTTTTTTTAGAATTTCCCGGAAAAATAGATGGTCTTAAAACTCTTTAAATTTCTGAAACAATTTACGATTTGCCCTCTTCTGATAAAAAAAAACCCAATTTGAGAAAACTGGATCAATAGGATACTTTAAATTTCACTGCGAAAAGTAAAAACTGAATTCCGTTTTCGAAACAAGAAGCCGATCACGTTTTTCGTGACCTTTCCACTTTTGCGATTCGATAGTGGAGTTTGATTTAATTTTAGCAAAAAAATGAACTGAACTAAAAAATATTTAAATACTGAACAAATTTAAAGACTTCACCTGAAATGAAAAAAAAACGAAAAAAAAATCATCACGACCTATATAAGAGTACTCACTACGTTCATTACTCTCAAAGATTTACATTTCCGAGGACGAAAACTTTTTAAGTAAAAAAAATGTTGGAAGGCCGCTAAATCGAGGGAACTTCCTACTACTCGTTTTCACCACTGAACCCACAACTTCAGGTTTGGGAGGTTAGTTTTTGAGAAAATTATAAAAAAAATTTAAAAAACGGTTTAAAAAAATTGACTATCCCGAGAGCCATAATTAAATGTATCAAAAAATTTCGGCTTAATCGCTTTTAGAGGGGAGCTTTTCAAATCCGATCTATTCGGTGAAAAAAAAATCTACGATTGGTTGGTTAATTTTTTAGAAAAAAATCAAACATCGGTAAAATATTCTCTCCACAGACCTTTGTCGAAGGCTGTAGACAAAAGGAAAAGCAAAAAGAGGCCAGTGGAGTATGCAGACACACAAGAATACAGGCGGTCTTTTTATGGCTACCCCTTTTTTGAAAATTGGAAAAAAGTGTTAAAATTTAAAATTTTTCAAAGCATCTTAAAAAAATTTAAAAAACCGATACATTTCATAATACCCGTTTTTATCAAACAGGAATTCTAGGCAAGCATGCCAAAGCAAACATTTGAAAATCATATTAGCAACTGGACAAAACTGAAGAAGCGGAAACAAGGCCGACAATCTTTGAGCAGACACCAGTTAAGCCGAAAAAAACCTTACTGTAAAAAAAAACTTTAAAAAGGTTCAAGTTTAAACTACAATCATTGAAAACAAACAAACAAAAATTGCCAAGACCTATAGCAGAGTATTCACTTCGTTCATGACTATTAAATAAGCTCTCTAATAAGAAAATGAACAAGTTTATTTTCTACATATGCTTTTTGTTTGGCGCAAAGATGTCACAGAAATCTTCTCCGATCCGAAAACGCGCCAACTCATTGCCAAAACTAAACTCACAGAGTATGTCGCCATTTCAAAAAGCAATAAGATGGAACATTTAAACTTTTCAACAAATCACGAAGGAAGCTTCTCACCTTTTTGGGAGGACAGAATCATTTCCAGCATGTCTCCCTTCAGTTTCTCCATTACCACAAAGACCCTTTCGACTGTCTCGAACATCTGCTCGAACGTCACAATTCCAGGGTGGGAGATGTTCTGGAAAAGGTAAGAGAAGCCAGTGAGTAAAACCGAAAAGCACAATTTAATGTATACTTTTAATGCTCACTCAAAAAATAAGCCTCATGATTGGATATAAAAACGTCATTACGCGCCACCCAAAGATCTCAAATATTATGTCATTATAATCATCGCCATCATGTGTATGTTTTTCCCACATTTTCTTGAATCATTTTTTACTAATGAACTCGGTCCAAGAAATTTAAAGCGGTTGATATCAGTCCTAGCAATTAAAGAAAAATGATATTGCGGCTCTTTTTTGTTTAACATGCTCCCCGCCCCACATAGAAAATTTTAATAGTAAAAATTTTGTTCAGATTGTCCAATCGTTATGAAAATTGTCATACGGACTAATTCGGCCATGACAAACATATTTTGCCTGCGTAACTAACCTCGTAAAACTACTCATTACACAATAAAATTGATGATCGTGTGAGGTGCGGGAAAGCAAAAAGAGACGATATTCCGAGGTAATACAGTAGCTGAAGTATCGGTCACTAGGACAAAAATATCGGTCACTCGGCGAAGCAACGTTTCCCAGTCCGAAAAAATCACCGAAAAACTATGCAGTCTTGTCTCGATTGGCGTGGGTCACGAGTCACGATTTGTGAATTTATTTAAAGCTTTGGTAGACTAGTTTTAAATTAGAGAACAAATTCTTTGCGAAAAGTGAGATTCGTTAATAACAAAAAAGATGAAAAATTCATATACCTTCTGGTTAAATCAAACATCCTTTCGTGTGGCGATTACAATAATAATTGCAAGCAAGTGACTGCAAAGAATCTTACTCTGAGGATGGCCACTTCGTTTTTGAGCTGTGCCTCTTGCTTGGTGGGAAATCTGAGCTTGTCAATCACCTTCACCGCCACCTCCCTCCTCGACTTTCGATGCACCCCCGCATACACCACTCCAAACTGACCCGAACCCAGCACCTAACACATATATAATAATTAGAAACATCAAAATTACCACACCTCAAACCCCTCTCTCAGGAAATCCTGAAAAATCAAATATTCCTCAATTTATTTGAACCATTATAGTCATTGGTTCAAAATCAAAAATAATATTGATGATAAACGATCCTTGTGTTTTTTTTTCTGCTATACACCCTTGATAGGAAATTCAAATTCGATTAGAATTCAAAATAGCCAAAATTTAATCCAATTGAAACGTACCTCGTCAGTGACTATTTGGTAGTAGACACTTATGTCCTCATCTGTGGCCCCCTGAAGTGTCTTCTGACTCCCGTGGCCCCCACCTCCAGATGTTCCAGAAGATGAACCTACATTATCAATATTGATTGATTGCTCAGTAGATCTATTGAAATTTTGTTATTACGCAGTTGATGTCAAACTTTTAGCGATAACTTTTTTCGTTCCAAGAATCTGAACCAAATTAATTAACCTTGCTCACTTTGGCTTCGGAAACTCATTTTTCACTCAATTCTTCCGTAAAAATTGAGTCGAAAAAATTATTCAAACTGAAAACTCTGTTTTCTGATCCATTAATTTGCTCTATATTAACATTATTGCCAACGATTTCACATTAATCATCAAAAATTTTGTTTCGAGCATGACTTAATGAAGCATCGTGTAAATTCTGTATCAAAAAATGCACCTGGAGAAAATGAAAGGTGTCCACAAATGATACTAACCTTGCTTCCATTCAAAAAACGAAATTATTTTGTAAAAACGCATGAGATGCAAAAAAAAACAATACATTTTCAGAGATTCCAACCTGATGTTCCTCCGGAGGTGCCAGAGGAGTCATTTGGATTCTTGGAATTGGGATCTGTGGACGAGGACTGCTGCCCTCCCGCCGCTTGACTCAGAGCCACAGCTGCTTGGTCCGGCAGGAGCGCTAAAGCCAAAGTGTTTTCCTCTTTAAGAGTACACTCACTCAACGAGTTGGAGCTTGGCCTGGGAATTTATGGATCTCGGCTTGAATTTTCTGTACTAGCGATTATTTAAATTTTTTTTGGATTTTTAATAGAATCAGTTAGTGCTTCACCATCAAACATGAATGACATACACAAAATATCATAACATTGGGACTTCATCTCTTTATAACTAATTAAGGTCATTGTCACTTATAATTAAATGAATCAACTAACTATTATCTGTGTTCTGTCTCCCACTGGCGACCATGTTCGCACAACTCACAGACAGGGGGAAGGAGCTCTGAGGCGTGACTGGCATGAGAGCCTGTCTTATTGCCATCTCCCAGGCTTGGCTGTACACAGTGCCAACACCAGCCTCTTCATCGTCTACGTCATCTAACTGACCCACACAATAGGTCAGTTTTACTGTCTCAATTTCAAACGCATGTTTCGGTTGCTGTTGATTACTGTTATCATTTTTATTGTTGTGATGATTGGATGATGTTGAGGGTTGTTGTTGTTGCTTCTCGATATAAGCTTGAGTTGTACATGAACTATTGTTAGTGTTTGTAGAGGATGCCGTCCGTTGTTGTTTACTGCTGTTTTTTGGGTTGCTATTGTTGTTTGACTCCTGGTGAGGGTGATCTAGGGTCAAGAGGAGGTTGCTGGAATCGGAGGAATGTACGGAGAGGATATCTGAGAGTGGAATGTCCTGAAGAATATAAAAGATGCGGTCACAACAATTAAAACCCGCCCTTTCAAACAACATTTTTAGGTAAAAAAATATCAGGAAATCATTTTTTTTTCAAAAAATATCTGAAATCAAAAATTTATCCCCACAAAACTTCCATAATTCAAATTTTTGAAAATAGAGAAAATTCACGCTTATTAATTAGATCAAAAACGTGGAACTAGTTATTATCATCCAAGTTGAAGAATACAATGAATAATGACTGTCTGTATCCAGGATTTCAAATAATGAAAATATATTTTTTTGAAGATTAAAAAATGAAAATATTTGAAAAAATCATTTATAAAACGATAACTAGAAAAATGAAATGCCTTGAGCAAGCAAATTTGGAACCCAGATACAAACTTCCTGAGAGAACCTTGACAGCACCCCAACATAGTTTTGAACATTTCAAACTTTGTTGAGTTTTTCTACAAAGTTTATTCAAAAATTTGAAAAATCATGATAAGCTCTTTAAGCTCTTTGATTTTTTGGACATAATATGATTGGCAGTTTTCTGATAACATTAACCAAACTTGAGAAAACTGGATCATTAGATAAAGTTTGTATTATGTTGGGAAATCTAAAATTTAAATTCCACTTTCGAAACTAGAAATCGTTCACGTTATTTTGCGCCATTCCGACCTTTGTATTTGGACAGTCTTATTTACGCATACAGCAGATTAATTTCAATTGAACTCAAACGGTGCTTATTTACCTAAGTGCATTCATAAATGCATCAATATGTTTGAATGCACATCTGTAGTTATAAGAGTATTTTGAAACTTTCTCTGAAAAAAAAACAAAAAAATCACCAAGACCTACATAGTATTCAATTCGCTCATTACTATTTAAAAATATTCACTAAATTTGGTTGAAGCGTAATCCAGACCTTACAAAAAGGTATTGTACCAGATAAGATGTTTAAATAAAAAGGTAAGCATAGCTATGATTTCGACAGGACCCATTCTCCTCTGCTTCCCCTCGGCAAATTAATTTGAAACTAATCAACAGAGTGTTTAAGTCAATTAACTAAAGAAAACGGAAAAAAATGATGTTATTTTTTGAATAGTTTTCAAAACATAGCCATCTGAAAGTTGGAAAAGCGTAATGAACGCAAGGAAACAGCAAAAAAAGACTTTCGAATTTTAAAGAATATATACTATTAAAGCTCTTTGAATTTCACGAAAAAAATTATGATTGGCGCTCTTTTGATAAAGTTGACCTAATTTGAGAAAATTGGATCAAAAAATAAAGTTTTTAATTCGCTGGGAAATCTGATTATTGAATTCCGTTTGCGAAATCAGAAGTCCATAACGTTTTCGTGACCTTTACATTTTGCTGGTCAATAATGGAGTTTACCTTTCTTTTAACAAAAAAAACCAATAAGATCAACAAAACCTATGCAAGAGTACTCACTACGTTCATTACTTTATACATCAAGTTGAAACTCTTTCTATTTCAGGAATCTTTCTACTTTTCATAAAAGCATCCTAATTACAGAAAACTAAATTAAACGGCAATTTTTTTTATTCCGCTGGAAAACCTTAAAATTAAAACTTCATTTATAACTAAAACCATTCATATTTTTCGCCCGATCTTAAAATGTAGTTGGCCTTACTTTAGTCTAAAATCCAACTGCGAAAAATCAAAATTGAGCCTGAAAACAACTAAGACTTTTTCCTGAAAAAGAACGAGAAAAAATCAACACGAATTATTAAAGTATCTTCAGTACTCTTCGTGAAATGGTCGTAACATTCACCCAGTAGACGAAAAAAGTACAAATTTCTAACACAGTACAAAAAACCCAGCACCCAGTATCAAGAAGTTTCTTCTATGTGCCTTATCGGAACATTCCGATGAAATTGCACTGCACTGCTACAACTATATAGTGTTAGTTTGCTTCGTCGCTTTCCTCGGACCTTAGCATAGAATTTAATTCATAACGATTACTATTCTTGCCGAAGAAATGTTTAATTAAACTTAATTAGTGGATCATGATAACTATTTCCCTTCCACTATCAAAAGTAGAAAAGAATTGCCACCCCTATTAAGAATAAATTCAACGGCTAAGCATATGTGCAGATATTCGTACGTTGTAACAAATCACGTCTATATAACTTACTCTTTAATTTAATTAATGTCTAACTAAATTTAATTTAATTAATGGACCTTGTTTACTCTTTCCCTCCTCCCACAGTTCCTACAAAAAATGTCGCCAACTTTTAACAAAACAAATTCAACAGTTAAGCAAATGTGAACAGTAACAACTATAGTAACAAACAACTCCCACCCCCAACCCCATGCCCCCCCCACCCCGCCGCCTCCCTCCGTTGGTAATAGAGGGCGATAGTTAAAAAGAGTCAGTTTAGTAGTTACCTTGTAGTATTTATTTGTGTTGTCAGACTGGTAGAGAGTGAGACACTTAGTGTCCAGTCTCCAGTAGTGTCTCTTCCTCATACTGTTCGGCTGGTCAGTGAAGTGCACCATCCAGCCCTCCTTGATCAGAGTGGACTGGTCCTGTCGCTTAGTCTGTCTCACACTCTGCACCACTCGCATCAGAGGAATGTTGTTGCTGGACGTCGGACTAAACAACAAACAACAACAACAGATATTAGCCAACGATCAAAACATGAATAAAGATCAATGAACCAGTTGCAAAAAGCTTGCACAGTCAAAACAGTCAGTTAGAAAAGTCTCAATTAACTAAGGAGATTGAAAGAAAATCAACAATTTTTCCGACCATAAAAAAGACGAGAAAAAATTAAAAAATCAAATTAAAAATATAAGTGTCTTCACAACATTCACTGGCACTTAACAAGAGCAATTGGCCAATTTCAAAATTATTTTAGGCCAGAAACTTTTATCTTGAGGAAAAAAATCGGCCACATTGTCAGGTTGCTTTTTAAATTAACAATCAGAAGTCGGAACATACACAGAGTCAACAGAAAAGTAAACTTGAAACTGAAAGTGATCAAAAAACAACTCGGACTTAAATAGGTGTCTTTTATTTCATTCGTTGACACTTACACAGTTAAAACACGTTACAGATATTTAAAAAATTAACAGAGCAATTTAACTATTTGAATTGATTTGCTTGGTAAGAAAGAGATACAGATACAGTAATCAACTCACAAGGATCTCGCACTGCACCTAAATCTCATCCAGTTAAAACAAGACCCGCATTTCGGAAAAGTTTTAGCATCCTAATTTTTCAGACACATTATGTTTCAACGCCAAAAAAAATTTGGGGCAAAGTTGAACTGTCGACGTCTCCGCGTCTCTGTCGAAGGTCAGTGATTAATTCAAGGCCCATAATGATCCGTGCTCCTTGCTTGAGGGTAAAGCAACACTACTCAGAATAGAAAAAAAGCCGACAACATTGATCAAATTTCTTAGCGAGAGGCAAACAAAATTTCTCCGCGAAAAAGCTGAGCAGATGGTAGTTTGACCCTTTTTGTGTAGTGAACTATCCTGACCGAAAGAATATAGCAAACATACAGTTAAAAGTGTCAATGATTTCAAGAAAACGGGAAAAATCACTTCCAAAGCAAACCTATATGGCCTTTACGCTCTATAATAATCGAGAATGATTGACAAATTCTGATAAGACACAATTTGATTTCAAAAAAACTGGACCAAGAACTCCTTTTATTGAACCTTTTATTCAGCAGGGAAATTCGAGTTCAATTCGAGGAAAAATGCCGAAAAACACAATTGACAGCGTTAAAAAAGCATTCAGTGAAAATTATGAAACCATAGAAAACTAGTTATCCCTTAAACGCCCCAATTTAAGTAGACCAATCCGACAGAACATAGACCGAAACCATGCAAGCCAAAAACAGTAAAAATAAAAAGCCAAGAGCAATAACAACTGGTATTTAAATGAGAAACTTTATGATAAAGAGCTTGTCAACGTAAACAGCATCTCGTATTTAAATTTGTATTTTCATGAAATTGAGCATGTCAAGACGAAAAAATTACGTCACCCGCTGAAAACTGGGGACAGAAAAAGTACAAAACACGGTTGCACACAGAGGCGAAAAAAAAGACCGATAACGCTACTGAGAAAAACTGAATGGGTAAAACTTAGAGTCTACAAAAATTATGCACGCCAATTATGAGTCTACATAACTGCTAACATACGCAAGCCAATCATTACGCATTAGCAGTACCAGTCAATTTGAAAAAAAAGAAATTTACCAACATGCCTCAATTGATAGAGCGGACGCATTTAACTAGTATACGAAAATGTTCATTAAAAACATCCGACCTTGCTCAGGTTCGAACCCTCTTATTTTGTTGCGGGTCTCCTTCCCAGCCTCTACGCTACAAATCCATGATACCTTGAAGCTAAAGTACTATTTGTAACTAAATAGTCTGTGTTAATATCCTTAGCATTGGCTGTACTTGATAGCTGGTTATTGATCAATATGAACACTTTCAAAATGAAGACATTTCGTCGCAACAATATTTGGGTCGCGACATTATTTGCGATTTAGGTTAGAAAAGGGAGTTCATACCATCACAGAAACTTTGCTTATGTAAATAGCTTTACTAATCTCAAGTAAAAAAGCTTATCTAAAATGATAGCTAGAAATGATTGCTAAAAATGAAAAGACAAAATTTCATTTGTTTTTTCTTTTGAAGTTTTTTTTGTTTTTGTGGAACTTATCTCATGTACAACCATGAATATACGAAAAGGAAGAGTCTAAGATAGCTTATAATACTTAGTTAACAAAACCAACAAACTATATTACACAGTAGCTCACAAATTTTGAAAGCAGTACCACTGTCCCTCTTCGAAGTAAAAATGAATGCAGAGTTTTTAATCAGAGGGTGATTTTGTTGAACAGGTCTTGTACAAAGAGGCGAAGCTGAGCGGAGCAACACTTGCTATAAAAAAACACACATAGCATTGCACGCTAGCGGCCAGAACATGAATTGTAAGCCAATATAACATAGCCAATCGAAGATTGGAAAAAAGTAATGAACGCAAGTAAACATTTAAAAAAACACTGACTTTGTTGAAAAAATCTCAACTTTTGAATTTCAAAAAAAAACTAGATGCCCTTTCAATTTCAAGAACGATTTATGATTGGCGCTTAGCATAGCGCAAAGCATAGTCTCACATTGCAGCCCTATACAGGATTCTAAACATAGGAAATTTCTTTGGAGCACTTAGCAGTTGTTGAAGTTCAATATAGCAAAAATCGATATGTAGGTGTGTTGTAGGTGCAAGATAAGCCAGAATAAAATGTTCAAAACAGAAAAAATGCTAAATATAGCACAAAAAAGAGTAGCCTAAAAAGTAAAAACTTAGCCAACAGAAAGTTAAAAAAAGAGTCAATGAACGCAAAGTAAACATCTTGTTTTTAAAAAACTTCAACTTTCGAATTTCCCAGAAAAAAAAATAGATGGCACTTTGAATTTCTGGAATAATTTAGAATTGAAACTTTTTTGATAACATAAACCCAATTAGATAAAACTGGATCAATAGCTAAAACTTTTATTTCGCTGGGAAATCTGATAATTAAAATCTACTTTCCAAATTAGAAAACAACCAAATTTTTCGTGACCTTTACATTTTTGCTGTTCGACATTGGAAATGTTGCTTCTTTAACAGAGGATATGAGCTAAAACAAATCAAAAAATCAAATTTGAGCTAGAACAAATTTTAAGATATTTTCCTAAAAATAAAATTAAAAAAATCATCACAACCCATATAAGAGTCGTCACTGCGTTCATTGATTTAAAAAAAAAAACATTATATCCACAAAAACTTGTTTGTCTCGCATTGAGTTCATTTTGAGGACAACATGTCAAGAAACAACCACCAGCAATAAATAAGGATTCAAAATCACTAACCGGTGGCAAATAGGCCGAAAAAATTTGAATAGACACCACTTGAGCCTTAAGCAAACTTTTCACGCCCCATTACTCCTGACACAAAAAAGCACAACAGAACTTTTTTCCGTCTTTTCAACCACTTACAAAGTGAGGCAAACTAAGCCGACATAACATATTCCGAAAACATTTAAGCGAAAAGAAACAGAGAATCAAAAGGAAATTATACAAAAAAAGACTTGGTAAAAGTTCAAGTTAGAACACGAGTTTCAAGTTTTATTCCCCATTTAGTACACTTGTATTTGCAAGTAATCTATCATAGGGCTTAATTATGATATCCCACTTAAAACCGTACGAAAAATTTTCTCGAGTAAATGTAATCGCGCCAAAAAAACAAGCATAGGCAATACATGATAGTGGTCGTAACAAGAATTACTCAGTTGATCTGAAAACGAAAATAACACGTAAAGCCACCGTCACCACATACAAAACATTCTGCGAGGAATTGTAGTTGATTAACAAAGGGCAGATTATAGCGTAGCAGGTTCAAATTACAGATCGCGTTAGCATTTATGCCAACTTCGAATTCATATAACTATAGTTAATAGGTTGATGTGTGTTCTAGGACTCTTAGTTTGAAAAAATTAAATTGAAAAAAATGAAAACCACAATGCATTATCTTCTCGAAAGAAAAAGTTTATGATGTCAAAGTAACTAAGAAAAAAAATAATTTTCCGGATCCGGGTCAATTAATTTCCCTTATTCATCGCTCCATTGACTCAAACTTAGAGGGGAGTAAAATTCAAACTTTCGCACATATTTAGATATTAATGCAGCACCAAAAAAAAACAATACACAAACTATCACTTGGTTTGTATTAAGAAAGAATTTTCCAAACCTACCCTCACCCCCTGAAACGTTTGGTATCTGCGATGTGAGAGGGTTTTCGGATATTTTTTACTTCCTTTGATGTATACGGTGACCATTGCAGGACTAACACAGTTTTAATTTTTTTTTAAATGAACCACTTATGATACAATATCACCTAAGAATGCAGGGCATTTGCAAGATACGCATATTATCTTTCAGTCAAAAACCTGCTTTGCTTGATCTAAAATTACAGAACAAAACAAGACAGAAGAAAAGAATTGCATAAAACTTAACTCTAGTGATCAGGACTAGATAGAAGAAACAATTCAAGCACAGTTCATTTGATGTCCAAGGTCGGTCGATTCTAAGAATTTCCAGGGAGGGGGCAAACTTATGATTTATTTTTGGTCCAGCAAGATGTTTGCGAACTCCTGAAAAACCCAGAGGCCCTATACTTGGATTTTGTCGCACAGTTAAAAGTTTTTTTTTTTTTTTTAGAAAAAACTCCAGTTTTAAAAACCACAATTTTAAGCCCAGTATTGAAGGCGCTTTAAGAAAACTTTTTGATCCATATTGCCTAAAATCACCACGAATTGATATAAGATTCACTCTTTTACCCAAGGCCTCTTTCAAATGAGATCACTAGAGCTACAGAAAGATAGAGAAAGCAGCCCCGAAGCAATTCTTCCAATATAAAAATGAAGAAAATGAACAAGAAACGATAACATGAGATGTAGTTGTACTTTACTGTAGCATTGCACTTACATTTCAGGCATACTCTGGTATATCGAAGAGCGATATCTAAAATAGTGCACCAATGCAAAAACACCAATCACAAAATCACACTCTCAGTGCTTTAAATAACAGTGCACTTTCAAAGATTAAAGAGAAGTTGAAAAATGGGCTCTTTTCCAGCCCCCCCCCCCCCCCACTTTGATATGTTCTGAAATTCAATATATGAAAGTCTTTTTAAAATGACTTTTCATGTTATAAACTGCGTTAAAACATGTCAGCGTGAACAAATTTGCACAGCATTTTTAACAAAAAAGGCCGCGCGAACAATTTTTGAACTTTTTTATTTTTTAATTTTACGAGGAGGGGGGGGGGGGGTTTATAACTGGAAAAGAGCCGGAAAATGTCGTTTTTATATACATATATTTCGATTATTCAAAACATTTGTTCAATACAGCAAAGATCTCATTGCGTCTTGCTTTGTTTTCATTTTTCTCTGATTTGTGTTACATTTACTTATATGCGTTTCAAACAAATTAAATCAGGATTAAGAAGGCTAGGAGCTAAGCTAAAAGGTTCAAAATACATGGAATGCGCCAAGCCGGATTGGTTAGTTCTGCACTACTGGAGGTCATAAGGGAACTTAAATCTAGGAAAAATGTATTAACTTTATCTCCGAATTTCGAACATTTTCCTGTCTGATGAAATCTCGTTGCTCATTATCAGTTCACATTACTTAAACATAAAACTATTATTAGAAAACTATTGATAAACACAAGCCTACATCTATATCAACCTAGATTGCAACAATCGCTTTATTTACTAAAAAAAGATAAAAATTGGCAAACTTACCGAATAGTCTCCCCACTTGCAGATCCCACGAGTAACTCGTCACCCCCTTCTTTAGCATCGCCACTGATAAAACCACGGTCCCCCCTTTGCCCCACTCCCAATTGGTCACTCGACTGGCTAGAATCCATCATAGTGCCACCATTTCCATCTGTGTCATAACCACTAGTCTGGTTATAACTGTTACTCCCAACTCCAGATGAGTCACTGTTGTTGCCACCGTTCGGCCCAGTAGGGACTTCTAGAGTCACCTCGACTGTGGTGTCTTCCTCGTATTGCGAGTAGGCCACTTCGGGGTTCGAATTTCCCACGCCTCCGACCTAAACACGTTACTTAGCATTTTAAAACTAACTTTAGCCTTTAAAACTAACAGGAGGCAGTTAGTACATTAAATTTTGAACTGAATCAAGCAATCGCTTTACTTGCATGAGCTCAATAAGTAGACCAGGTGAATGCTGAATAAACATGACCACTAAATCGCCGGTAACGCGATTAACTTGCAAAATTTAGTTTAAAACGCCGCATCTGAAAGTACGACCGCTAACGGCCGTAGCGAACTGCGCTTAAGTTGGGCACACGTAGTAAAAAATGCGTGATTCCTTGTTTGCCTAAAATAGGGAGAAACTTTGTATTAGAGTGTATTTTAATTTTTGTTTAATTTTGTTTTCGGCGCAAAATTAGGTACCTTTAACAATCCTCGGAAGGAGTCGAGTGTTAAATCATATCAAAGCCCTTTCAGTCGTGAATCGAACGACATTAAAAAGTTTCCAAAAAGTTTTCTCAGTGTTGAGAAAAAGCGGTTTGAAACTTTTTATTTTAGTCTTATTTCGAGCGAAAACAGCGAGCATGCAGACTAATTTTAGATGGATTTGCCGTGAAATATTTATCTAAGACGCGAAACCTAAATTTTACTATAGCGTCTTCTAACTTCTTAGCGTCTTCCTGAAATTTTTTATAACTCTTTTTGTATTTTTCGAAGGCCATAGGTTTTCTGCTGAGTGTAATGGAAAGAAAAAAAACAATACGTATGTTCGCATCGCAAGATCAATGCAAAAAAAAACATTAATATTTTTGTCACAATTTTTGAATTGTGAAAACCTATCACCTTTAAAATTAGCAATGGAGGTGAAAATACAGGTAAAGGTTTCTCCCTTTACATCACAGGAAAACAAATAACACAAGTTCAGCTTATCTTTAAGATAACAAAAACATTTATTAAGTCTCCGTGCAAAATATATATTTTAAGTTCACCGGGAAGTCAAATGAGATTCATAATTGCACAAACTTAGATTATCTTAATTTTCCCCAAAATTTGTTTTGAACTTGATTTAAGCTCAAACTATCATAGCAAATGACCTTTACATCCTTTCCGCTCTATCTCAGATAAACAACATATTCGCTACGAATGATGGTGATATAAAAGCTTAGATATTAACATGCAAAAATACTAGCGGTTCAAGAGCAGCTAAAGCTGCTTTTCAACAAAGTAACACTTCCAATCATAAGGCATAGTCCCTGTAGTCCCGACCTCTAGTCAGAATAGGCTGTATGAAAAATTCAAAACCGAAATGTTTGGGATTACCTTCAAGTTTCATAAGCAAACTTTTTCAAAAAATCAATCTCAAAAATGAAATAAATTGCGAGTCTCACATTCCCACTCTGAACTAGCAACTATGGGATTTTTAAAACTCATTGCGATAGAAGCGACCAAATTTAAACTCAAAAACATCGCGATCACAAAAAAAATCAAAGGTTGAGAAATCACAGAACTTGAAATGCTATTCTTATGTATTTCAACAATAAAACTTCTGGCCAATTTCACAAGAGTTTCGTATTTCAAAAAATCGAAGGTTGGTGGTCTTCAAATTTCCTTCTAAAACGCAGCCCTTTACAACATATTAAGATATGACGAGCGCTATTTTGCATTATTTGTATTGTCAGCTTATATTCTGAACTTTTTTTAAAGCAAAACATCCGCTTCTTGACAACTGAAAACTTTGGAAGTTGCATAGCATAGTCTCAAATTGCAGCCCTATACGGGATTCTAAAAATACGAAATTTCTTAAAAGCACTTAGCAGTTATTAAAGTTCAATATAGCAAAAATCGATATGTAGGTGTGATGTAGGTGCAAGATAGGCAAGAATATAACTTAAAATTAAGTCTTATCACAAAAACGAAGCTGAGATTCGCGAAAAAAAAACAAGTAACAAAATGCCAAAAGTAGCTTAAAAAGCTAAAACATGGCCAACAGACAGTTTAAGAAAGAGCCTATGAATACAAGTAAACAGGAAAACAATATAACTTGTTTTTTGAAAAAAACTTCAACTTTCAAATTTCAAAGAGAAAAATAGGTGGCCTTTAACATTTTTGAAATTCAAAAACAATCTATGATTCGCACTTTTTCGATAGAATTAACCCAATTTGAGAAAATTGTGAATCAACAGATTAACTTTTCATTCTGCTGAGAAATCGGAAAAATAACATCCACTTTCCAAATTAGAAGTCAATCACGTTTCTCGTGACTGTTACAATTTTGCTGATAGACATTGGAGTTTCCTTTTCTTTCAACAAAGGAAATGAACTGAATTCAAACATAAATTGAAGTCAAACCGCGAAAAAATAAATTTAGGTCTGAAAGAATTTAGGACTTTTCCTGAAAAAAGAGAAGAATTTAAAGCGACCTATTCAAGAGTCTGAACTAATCTCGCGAATGTTAAAAAGGAAATATAGCGAACAAAAAGTTGGAAAAGAGTCAATGAACGCATGAAACGGACTTTTGAAAAAATCTCAACTGTCGGATTCCGACAAAAAATAGATGGACTTCAAGCTCTTCGAATTTGAGAACAATTAATGATTAGCTCTTTTTTGATACAGTTAACCCAATTTGAGAAAACTGTATTAAAAAGTCAATTTTTATTCTACTGGGAAATCTGAAAATTAAATACTACTTTCGAAACTAGAAAACGATCACGTTTTTCGTGACCTTAAAACTTGCTGTTCGATAATGGAGTTTGCCTTCCTTTTAACAAAGGGAATGAATATAACTTTTTTTAAAAATTCATCACGATTTTCATCACGATCTATTCATCGACTTGCATTAAGCGTGCAATGAACATATTAACTATAAGGTAAAAGAAATTTATATGAATTTAAGAAGCTATTAATATGCATAAATTACCACTATTAATTCGTAATTGTGACATCAATTGACATGACGTTAAAATTGTGAGATCAATTGAGATATTAGAAAAGTATAGTTAGTACCTGCTTCTGATTTTCGACATTCGCTTCCATTTCTTTCATTTCATCGAAGTAGTCCTGTTGGTCCCCATGTTTGAGAGATCCACAACCTCCTCCGATCCCCACTCCAGTTATACCCAAGGGGGCGTTGTCGGTATCACTTCCAGTGCCTGGCATCATGGACTCCTGATCTGTGCTGTAACCACCCTGCAAGTCGTAGTTCTCTGAACAAAAAACAAACAGAAATCAACTGACGCCCATCACAAATAACCATCCAAAATGCACTTTTGTAGAGGCTCTTCTAGAAACATTTAGAAAAAAAAAACAATCGAAGACTGTTCCATTAAAGATTCCGGCTCTAAATGTTAGGAAGTCGCGGGTGAGTCAACAATTCTCAGCCCAGAAAAATAACAAAAAAGCATGTAGTTAGCAACAGCAGTTCTCCATAAAGAACTGATTAGCTTGTATATTGGACGTTTCCCTTGTGAATAAAGTGAATAAATGGTCTTACTCTTAAGACATGCAGTTAGATATGGATTGATTTTAGCTCACCTTCGCTGAGAGCTCTGTCGCCGAGACAATTCTTGGGTATCATAGCTGCGCACTTCTTGTGACAGTTGTATTTGCAGTCTAGAAACATAACGGCTACTCAAATTTTCTAAGCAATCAAATCATTTTTGTTGAATAATTTGCAAAAAATGGTTCAGTAAATATAAACTGGAAGAATAAATTCTTTCAATCCAACAGACAACATGTTAGCAAAAAGATGCGAATCACATTAAAAATACTTTTTGTTGCAAAAGCGATAGGATCGCTTTCAAAATAAAATCAGATTTATCAACTCAATTTAAAAAAATTTGCGACAGAGGATTTGTACAGATTAAAAATCGCCAACAAACCCAGTAGCTGAAAAATGTAATCTATAACTCAATATTAAGTCAATTTATCTTTTTGAGCGTACATTTCTGAGCAAACTTTCGAGAAAAAATTAACAAAAGTCAAACAAAAGTTCTAAGAGGACGAATGAATTAAGTGAACAAATAAAGGCTTAAGTATCAATTTATCGGGTCAAAATTAGCTGAAAAAAATAGGCAATATGCCATATTTTCTTCACACCTTAGAGGGCTGGTAGAAACAACTAGTAATCATCAACAGAATTACTAGGCTAAACGTTAAAACATGCCATGATGTAACATAAAAATTAATGAATCGCCAATATGGAAAAAGATACGACAGATTCATCGAAGAAACTACATCGCGTTAGAGCTCTTTAACAGTAAGAAAATCTGAAAGTTGGCAATTATTTAATGAAAAAACACATAGTTAACTGACAGTTGGAAAAGAGTAATGAACGCAAGAAAACTTTTTTCTAAAACCTTCAACTTTTGAATTTTGAAGAAAAAACAGATTGCCTTTAAGTTGTTTCGAATTTTAAAACAATTTATGATGGACTTTTTTCTTAAAATTAACCCATCTTGAGAAAACTGGATCAATAGGTAAAACTGTCATTTCGCTGGGAAATCTGATAATTAACTACCTTTTTCGAAACTTTTAGTTCAGCACGTTTTTCGGGACCTTTACACTTTTGCTGTTCGTTAGTGGAGTTTTCCTTCCTTTTAACAAAAGAAAATAAGTGAACTGAAAAAGAAACCAAAAGTCAAACTGCGAAAAATCAAAATTGAGCGTGAACAAATTTCAAAACTTTTTCCTGAAAAAAAATCACCAAGACCTGTATAAGAGTACTCGCTACGTTCATTACTCTTAATCACTAGTTTCATTACTCTTAAACATCGGAGAGAGCTAGAATTATGAAAAACACTTTCATTAGACGGAACTTTTTAAAAACATTAAATCACTTTTGAAACTTAAAGTCAATTTCTTATTTCCTTTAGCACTTTTGTTTTTGAACGGCGTTATGCGCTGTCCATTTAATAAATGTTTAAAACGCAGCAAGAAAAAAAATTAAAAGTCAAACCACTAAAAAAGAAGGTTAACATTTCATCGGCAACGATTTAACCTAAATGCCACTTTCAAAACTATGAATCAAGCTCAATTTTTCAAGCCATTTTCAGTTTTTTATCGTAGAGCAGAATCATCCCCTATAAGGTAGCCAAAATTAAATTGAGTTGTACGCTCAGGCAGCGATATAGAAAAGCTTACTTTCTTCTAGCAAAAAAACCCATCTCCTAAATGCGACAAAAATTCGGAAAAAGTTTCAACCTACTACTAAAAAATGGGAGCTTTTAGAACAAAAAAAAACATCTCATTCGAAGTCAAAAAAGGCGCAAGGCAATTTACAAAAAGAGCAGCAAGAAAATCGTTAAATTTGTATAAAAAAAAGGAAAAATTTGACAGCCAAAAATTAGATTTAATCAAAACTCAAGTTTTAGGCAGTTCTCTTATACTCAACAAGCTTGATTATGTCACTAAATTTCCTCTTGAAAAAAGAGTAAGCCCAAAACAACAAAAGACTTGAAATAAACGTTTAAAAACGTTTCGTAGCGCATAACTTAGTCAGCCAAATCGACAAAAAGCCACCTGTCAGTCCCTCAAAATTTGAGGCCAATTTGAATATCTGCTTGCAATTGAAATCAAAGTGTCGATTATTTCGAAAGAGTACCAAAACGTCCCTCAAAAAATATAATTTCATTACACGTTGCACAAAAACTTTGGACTAACATAAGCGACACTGGACAAAAAAAATTGGCCTGACCTTGAAAAATAAGCTTGCAGATTTTCTTAATCAATGATGTTTTAAACTATTTTATATTTAAGTGTATTTAATGTCAGAAATGCAAAACATTCAGGCCCATTTTTCGGAACACTGGCAGAAACATCGAAGATTTAAATATCTGTCTCAAAATCATCTGACGTTTATGTTTGTTACCGAACATTGCGTGAAAACAATTAACCAAAACCTTAGATCATTTCCTCTTCCTGGCCGGGACAATACTACCTTTGGGGATGTATGTAATGCACTTCAATCGATTTAGGGAGAGTATTTTTTCTGTCTTTCTTTTCACTCACCCTTGCACTGGTATCCCTGTTTGTATATACCCTTCAGTAGCTTCTTGCAGTACTGACAGATAGTCGGAGTCTTGTATGTTCTCACTATGAACGTATGGGGCACCTAAATAACAAAAACATCATTTCACTGAATAAAACGAAACTGTACTAATAATTTTCCATAGAAATCAAAAATGGTTTTCTATGACTGGCTTTTTCGATTAATCAAGCTCAGCTAGAGATAGAAAACGAACATTATATACTTATCATATAAAGACATCATCGAACATAGCCAATAAACACAGTTGGTAAAGTGACAGGATACTCAAAAACCGAAAAATTGGCTGATTAGCTTTGAAGCATTTCGAAAAACTTTAAGCGTCAAATCTTTTGAATACCAAGATCTTTCTCGACTGGCGGTTTATAGATAAAATTAACATAACTTCAGAAAAGTAGATCAATACGTTATTTGTTTCTTCCGCCCGGAAATCTAAAAAACTGCTTTTCGAAAATCAAAGTCACACGTTTTTTCGCATCATTAACTTTTTTTGTTATCGGAGAGCAACAATTATCTTCTATTTTGAAAAAAAAAATTGAATCGAACTAAAAAAAACTCAAATTTAAACCGCAAAACGAAACATTTGCTATAAAAGTAAAAAAAAAACGACCTAATTTTTTGTTCTTTTCTTACATTACACTTAAAATTTACACTTAAGTTACACTTAAAATATTTCCCAAATTTACACTTAAAAACTGGTACTGCTTGCACTTGAATTACTATATTTTAACAAAGCTCAAGATCAAAAAAAAATTTCACGCAGAGGCGAAGCTCCGCTTTGCAAATACAAGCGCGGAAAAAGCAAAAAAGAGCTTTAGACAGGCAAAACAAAAAATAACGAAAAAAATACACCTTTAAAAAAACATTAGCGAGATTAGGAGTAAAAATTCGACAAAAAACTATTTCAATGTTCCGGATTTGAATCTCCGACCTGTTGATTAGGAGTCTAACGTCCTCGCATCTGCGATACAGTCGCTTGGAAGTAAATTAGTGACCCAGCTTATGCTGGATCCACCTATTTTCAGATTTTTATTTATAGATTGTACTGATACAAAAATGCGTAATTTTCGTAAAAAAGACTTTACGCAAAATCCTAGTAATTTCTCTGCATAAGTAGGTGATTAGCCGTTTATTCAAAGGAGAAAACTACTTTACAGTTTTTTGATTGAAGCATTTATCTCAAACTTGGCTGAGTAGTTTTCAAAAAAAAGTGAATAAGATTCCAGAAAACAAACCAAAAATTTGAAATTTCATAAATCCATAAGCTTTTCTCTTCAAAAGCATGGGAATAGCCTTTCAGATCGAACACTGGTATAAGATTTAGTAAGAAGTTTTCGAGGATAAAGATGAATTTCTACAAAAAATGAAGTCCAAATCAGCTTTTCTGCAAATAAATAGGCAGATTGCGCAGGGAAAATCTAAGCACCATGTTAGTTTGAATGAACTGTCAACAATAGAATCAGCAGGTTAGTTTTGAAAAAAAAAACAAAAAACAAATAAACTTCCAAAAAACGGTCATCAAAAATTCAAAAAGGGACATTTTCTAAGGCCATATGTTTTTCAAAACGCAGAGCATAGCCGTTAGCTCAAAGAATAACTGACTGTTTTTCTTAATCACTGGTCATAACTGCATAAATGGTCAAACCCTTAATCTCCGATTTGGCCGTGTAGTTTGAGAAAAGTCAATAAATTTTAAAAACAAACAAAATGCCAAAAAATGGACTTATTTGAGGCCACAATTTTTTCTACCGACATTAGAGAATAGTCACTTGTAAAGGGGAAATCACCATAAATTAATCTTTTGATTGAAACCCTCATCTCAGATTTGTGTATTTAATATCTCAGAAAATGAAAAAAAAAATCAAAACAAATAGGTCAAAAGTCCCTCTACTGAAAAATTCAAACGCCGTAAACGTGGCGCAAAATGAAGAAAGACTAGAGAAATATGAAGGCACAGATGCGCAGCTGGTATTTCCAATGGTACCTTTTTTTGAAAATTGAAACAGTGTTTTTTGAGAAAAATTGAAATTTCTGCGAAAAGTGCAAATACTTTCCAAAGCTTCGCAAAAACACAACAAAAAACAACAAACCCATACATTTTCATAACACCTGTTTTTTCAAACAGGACCTAACACTTGCCAAAAAAAAACAAGCAGCAACATACGATTTTAAATGCTTATGCTTATATAGGCTTAAATATGATTAAATTGAAATATACCAAAAGTGCCACCAAATTAGCTCTTTTATTTGCAACTTGTTAGAAAAAAATTCTTCGTGATAATACACTACGCTTCGCTTGTGTAAATACCATTGATAAAAATCAATTATCTCCGAACTTGCCTTGATTATGTCTTGCATAGCTCGATCAATCCATAATGGTCTGCATTGGTACCATGAATTAGCCCCTCCCCCTCCTGATCCACCGCCTCCAGTGCCGGTGCCCGGAAGAGGGTTCTGCACAACTCCTGTTGCACCCGAGAGGGTACTGAACGTCGGAGCGTTGAATGAATGAGAAAGATTCGGAATCTGCAAAAGAATTATTTATTTTTTGAGTCGAAAGCACAAACGAATTTGGGAGCCAAATTAAAATGGTAATTTGAAATCGTAGAACCAGTTAGAATTCCATTAGGACATTTAGAAAAGCAGAGCTAAAGAGAAAAGATTTTAAAAGTTCTGCAAGATGAAAGTTCTGCAAACATTGTAATTAAACGTTTTTTTTTTGGATTTTGATATCAACCTCAATTTTGATACCTGCGAAGATTTGCACTTCATTTGTATGCCGCGCAATCAGTTCAAACCTGTGTGTCAATGAAGTTTTTTTCCAAAAATACATGCTAGGGCATAGATTATTATATTCAGTGTTTTACATATGAAACAAATTGACAATGCTAATGTCAATTTGTTTCATCTGTAAAACACTGAATATAATAATCTATGCCCTAGCATGTATTTTTGGAAAAAAACTTCATTGACACACAGGTTTGAGCTGATTGCGCGGCATACAAATGAAAGGCAAATCTTCGCAGCTATCAAAATTGAGGTTGCTATCAAAATCCAAAAAAAAACTAAAACAAAAAATAAAGTATTTTTATTAGGATTATTGTTATTATGAATCATCCAAAATATTAGTTTCTCCCTCATTTCAAGATAATTCTTGAAAGATGAAATCCTGAAGACTTCGATTTTTTTTATAAAATACCTATTTCATTCGGACTTCTTCTGAGCTGTATCAAAATTGTCACTCAATCGAGCCTGATTTTCAAAAAAAACAGTAAAAATATCAACGATATCAATTTTTAGTATTAGAACTATAAGTTACATTTTTAAAAATAAACTCCGACTGCTAGATACCTGGGCCATGTTTGATGCCCCAGTTGCAGAAAAAGTTCCAGATGAACTCGAGCTATAAGTCACCATCACGCCCATAACTTGCCCTCCATTACCCACAACACCCGCGCCAACACCTGTCATACTTACAACTCCCCCCATTGCCTGGGACGTAGGGGAAAACGGTTGATTTAGGGTTCCACTATTCATTGAACTCATGGGGGAGAAATTGGGAGTCCCGGGTGGGTATGCGGTTGAGATTGAGCTGTTGCTGGACGTTGACAGTCGAGAAGTTAGAGTGTTGGAACCCGCCAGGGGCACTCCAGCACGCTGAAACAAAAACATTATTTCGAGTGCGAATACACCAGATGTTAAGCGAACTGATCATCGACAAGAAATTCGCAGATACGCCCTTGGTTCACGTGGTTAAAAGCTATTTTTTATCAGCTAACGCTGTTTGAATTCACCCTTTAAGGTGGGTGAATTTTCTTCGTTTAAGGGGATTGTCTTCATATATGTTCTCATATCACGTAACTAACATCCATATTCGGTATACACTTTCGGGTAAAAATTTCAGCTCGGCTAGCACTCTGAGCGCACTTTTTGCATGTAAAAAAGATACGATCGTGTAAACTAATTATGGTCAATTTATCGAATGTGATTTTACATTCGTCTCATCTCAAGCGAAACTTCACAAGCTGAAGAATTGTGCGCAGCTACCACTTAGATTTGCATTAGACTAAACAAACCTTTTAAAAATTTGCAACTATACGTTCCACGCCTCCTCATACAGCCATAATTGAAACTACATTTTCAGACGCCATTTTTAATATTTTTGCATAATTTTGCAAGGAGAGTGGTGCGTGGGCTGCCTACTTCCAAAAAGTTTAAGCGGGAAAAATGACGGACAACTACACGAATCAAATTATTGCCAAAAACTATTAACATTAATGTGACATTTAACTGAACCTTAACAACAAATTTAGAATTTTCTCGACAAGGCAAGACTCCTTTATAGTATATATAAGCATCAATCAGACATCCCAAATTTTGTATTCAGAAACTTGTTCGTTGTCTGTGGAAACTATGAATGAAAGTTTGTGTGATTTGCAATGAAACCCTTGAACTTCAGTAAAACAATCAAATAAGCTTAGCTTAAATTTTTTAGGCAAACATTTATGATGGTGAAAGATAGCATCTCTTTAGAGTTAACTGATTCGCAAATCACTCCGAAGTGTAGAACAAACGAAGAACCACTTCTAAGTAATGCTTTGCAATTAATCAACACACCCAACAGACAGTTGGAAAAGAGTCAATGAACGCAAGTAGACAAAGACTGACTTGTTTTTCTCAACTTCTGAAAAAAGAACTCAACTTTCGAGTTTCAGAAAAAAAATAGATAGCCTTAACGCTCTTTGAATTTCAAGGACATTTTATGATCGACACATTTTTGACAAAAATTAACCCAATTTGAGAAAACTGGATCAATACGTAAAATATTTATTTCGCAGGAAAATCTGAAAACTTACCTCCAATTTCGAATGCAGAAGTTGATCACGTTTTTCGTGACCTTTACACTTTTGCTGTTTAATGGTGCAGTTTTCCTTCTTTTTAACAAAGGAAATAAACTAAACTTATAGAAATCACAAGTATCAGAAGTCAAACCGCGAAACAGTTTATGCGAGCCTGGACAAATTAAAAACTTTTCCTGAAAAACGGGAAAAAAAATCATCAAGCACTACATAAGAAACTGAACTACGATTATCGACTCTTAAAAAGAAACTAATTAAAATGTTTGTATAAGAAACGTAACCGTAAGCATTAAAGTCGACAAACTTAGCCTAATAATTACTCAACAAAAAACCTACTAATTTATGTTAGAAAAAACGTACAAAAACTACTTAGTGTTCAAGCCCCTGTAAACAGCACTTAGCTAAGGGATGCACTTTGCTCGCAATAAAATCGGAAATTAAGCCGACAAAAGGAAACAAGAAGCAACAAGTCAAAATATCAAAAAAACTCATTTCAACTTTTTCATCGCAAAGATATTGGAAAAAGACTGTTAACCGATCCATAGAGGAAATAACCAAAATTAATTTGAATTAAATCTATAGGACGCACCTCTATCGCTAATGTCACATGCTGGAATCTTCGTACAAAGTTTTTTACGGAGAAAAAGTCTAGTACCCAGTTGCAACACACTTGCCAACGCAACTGGGAAGAAAAATCTGTAATTCTTCCTCTGATCAGTTTTAAGCGTTCATAGGAACGAGAAAGATTGATTTGCCATTTGGATCATTGCTGTGAGTTGCAACAGCAGCTTTGTGGTTCTCCTTTCAAAGCACCTTCTATTTAGTTTTTCTCTATAGTCCCTACTTGTTTGAAAAATCTGCCGTTTCCTACTCAAAATTTCAAAAACTTGTCGAAGCAGTCTAACCCTAATTTGAAGGAAGCTTCAATGACTTAGAAAGTAGTAGATTAAATTTTCAAAAAATTTCCTGCTTGACGCTTGATTTCTGTTACCAAAGTCCTTTAAAAAAAAAGTTAGACATTGTGTCCATAGAGGATTTGGCTTTATGTTTGGCTAATAATTTTCACGTAAGATTATTTTGAGCTATCAGGCATCAAAAATGCGCTCAAAAAAGCCGATCTAGCTAGAACATGATACTTAATAAATCTATAAACTTTGCCCTAAAAAGTACGACTTCATTTAGAAAAAAGACAGATCTTATAAGCCTATGCTCTCAAGACCGCTTGTGCAATTAGGAATGGCAGCATAAACACAGCCAATCGAAGATTGCAAAAGAGTAATGAACGCAAGTAAACAAAAAAAACACTGGCTTTCTTGAAAAAGTCTCAAATTTCGAATTTCAAAGAAAAAAATAGATGCCCTTTAAGCTCTTTGAATTTCTCGAGCAATTTATGAATGGCGCTTTTTTGATAATATGAACCCAACTTGAGAAAACTGGATCAATAGGTAACGTTTTTATTCCGCTAGAAATCTAAAAATTAAAATCCACATTCGAAACTACAAATCGTTCACGTTTTTTCGCGCCATTTCCACGTTCGTATTTGGAGAGTGCTATTTACGTCACTTTCAGCAGATGAATTTCAAATGAACTGAAAAAGTGCATATATACCTCAGTGCATTCATAACTGCATCAATATGTATGAATGCACATATGTAGTTATTAGAGACTTTTAAGACTTTTCCGGAAAAAAAAAACAAAAAAAAATCAGCAAGAACTATATAAGATTCTTCACTACGTTCATTACTCTTAAAAAGGTAAGATAGTTTAGCAGTTTATTAAAATCATTAATTTCAAACCCATCGCCTTTCTTAGCATGGCCATATGATTGAAATGCTTCGCAAAATGAGTAACTTCAAATTACTTTTGCTTAAAATGAAACCTTCCAGTTAACTTTTAATATCAAAAACGAACCTGTTCAATTGGCTGGTTGGGCGTGTTAGTCTGAGGAGCGAACGAGGGAATAACATTTCCAAATGAGTCTTTCGAAATGAAACCTGTTCCCTGGGAAGAACTCTTCCTCCGTCGATTGTTCGTACAATTGTTCGGTATCTTGTACGCACACCTAAAAAAACCAACAAAACATCAGATAGAATCATGACGACTCAATTGCTAAAAAATAATGACGACTCAATTGCGGTCTCTTTCCAAGCCTTGCACCCACAATAGTTGCTTGGGTCAATCTATAGTTGGAAAGAGACCAAATTAAAAACAATTCTTGAAAAAATTTTGATGAGTTCAAACCCAAAAACCATTCAATGTAAAATTTGTTTAAAACTTAGTTTCTATTGAAGCTGAGCGAAGTTCTTAACCACTCCTGTGAAGAAAACTTTCGGGTAGAATCAACTCACTTTAAATTTGCGTCCCCAACGAGAATCATTTTTAAAAATCCTATGACGAAGCTTAGAAATCAATTTGGAATTTGACATTCAATTCAAACTGAGAAAAAATCTGATTAAATTTGGTTACGTCATTTATCCTTTGATACTACAAGAAAGAAACATTTGGAAAAATCACTTTGCTCATTAGCATTTAATGAATTAAAACTTCATTTCTCCAAACGGTTAAACTGAAAAGGCGAAAAATGTGCTTTTCTGCTCTACAAAAGGCGACCACTTTCTCAATTTACTTGAAAATTCTGCCCGCATAATTCATTTTTTTTGTTCCGACCAGTCATAAAGTAGGAAATAACTATGATGATGGGCTTTTAATGCTTGATTTTGACTGTCTAAAGAAAATTCATGGGGGTCAAAAGCGGTAGCATGTTACAACCCTAGTAGATGTACTTCGGATTCGAAAGATCAAAAAAAGTATCGGGAAAAAACAGTCAGAATGATTTTGCTCTTCGGACTGTCTAAGCAGTTCCCGCAGTTCCCAAAACTCTTTTTTTCCACATGTGGACTAATGGTTTTTATAAGTTGAGTTTAAATTAACATCATAGCTGCTCCCCTTGAAAAAAAGCAAAACGTAAAGAATGTGAACGAAAATCTAAGAAAAAAAATGGATTTTTTTTTTCAGTTTTTTTCAAACCATTTTTTGTAATTTATTATTATCAAATACCGTCATCAAAACATTCTGTATCTGTCATACCCTTGTTTTTGTCAAATGCTGATGCTTATTGCAAAAACCATTCAGCGCAGTTTCAGAATATTTTTTATTGATGAAAGATCGAAGATGAACAATACTCCTTTTTAGCCATTTCAAAATTCATTTTCCATTGAATTTCATGCACTCCGCCGAAATCTGCTTTGGTAAAATGTTTTAAAATAATAGCCGAATTAAGCTTCGCATCACTTGAAAATCAGAAATGAGAAAAATTGAAAAATGAAAAACAATTTACCCTACGAAAAAAAAACAGTTTTCAAAAATAAGGAAAAAAAATCATTATTTCGATCGGTGAAAATTGACTGAACAAAATGGGATAAAAAGACCGGGAAAATACATATTTCGCTACACTATCTTAGGAAAACTCCTTCTATAAAAATTTCACACGTTTGTCTCGAAAGATGTTCATTTTGAGAGAAACTTATCGATCGACAACAAACCCGACAAATCTTAGGCAAACGCCTGTTGAGCGCAAAACAAACATTGCCATGAAAATTTTTGAATGATAAAACTAAAAACTGGAAATTTGTATGCCACTTTTTTTCAAAGGGAACTTCTTGGTTCGCAAAAATAAACAGGTCCTGGCCAGATTCAAACTGCAGGCCTTTATCGTTCCAGCATTCAAGCTACCGCCCTGAAAAAAAATACTGAAAAAAATATACCGCCGAAAAAGATATGTAATTTGGATTTATATTAAAGCAAACATCGAAATTATTCATTGATTCTCTTAGACAATTTGTTTACCTGGAAAAAGTCTAATGTCCTCTTTGATAACGCTTTTTAATTGCAAGCATAAACAGTAATTGATTTTTAAAATCCATTCAAAATATCAGAGTACCTTGCCCTATCAAATATTGAGTGCTGTTTCCCCTAACCAGGCATCACAAACAACCCTTTTATTTTAATTATAATTATTAAGTTCGCATTTTATTAATTTTCAAATTCAGTACAATACAAATAAACATATTGGCCTCTCAAAGAAATAAATTTGGTTTAAATGACGTATGAGAAACTCCGAGACTAATTTGCAACTGTCCCCAAGACTCCTGATATTTTCGGTCCTTTACATTCCTAAAACTTATCGCGCGTGGGGAATTTTTATCAGGGCTTAGGAAATTTTAATTTTAAGAGCAATTCGTTTATATTACTTGTGCAATTAATTGACATTCATTTCCCCAATTATTGACTATTGACAAGCACTGTCTACGGACAAGCAGTAAATGTTCAGCATTTGAGGTCAAACTTCAACATGACAGTTTTAAATGAAACGATCAAGTTAGTCATCAGAAGCCTCTATTATTTCAGAAAATAATGTTGACTGACACAACTTTGACATATTTAAACAACTTTGAGTGACCCTAGTCAATTTAGTTTTTTCATACTGCTAGAGAACACAACCCATTTTCGGGATAATTAAGAATATAATTAAGAACAACATCAAACCGTAATTAAGGAGCAAACTCTTTCACCATTTCAACTTTTGTTATTGCAGATCTCAATTAGAACCCGCTTTCAAAGCAATTTGAGAAGCGAGCTTCGAGATAATCAGAATGAAACGTTAATAAACCAGCTTCATTAAATCAAAAAAAAAAATACGAGCTTTTAATAAACATATAACAAAGAAGCGAAGCTGCACAACAGAAGTACCAAAAAAAAATCAAAGGAGATCTTAAAAATATCATTTGAAAAACATAGCCAACAGACAGTTGGAAAAGAGTCAATGAACGCAAGGAATCAGAAAAAAAAATGCTTAATTGAAAAAATGTCAACTTTCCACTTGAGATTAAAAAAATAGATGGCCTTGAAGCTCTTCGAATTTCTAAAATAATTTATGATTGACACTTTTTTGATAATATTAAACCAATTTGAGACACAGAGGTGAAGCTTTGCTTCGCAAACACTAGCGAGGACACAACAAGAAAGCAGCTCTATAAACCGCTTTAATAAAAATTAGAAATAAGCCTCGAATTAGAAAAAAAAAATTCGGCAACAATTGAGATTCGAACCTGCCACCTAGAGATTATTAGACTCAAACACTAATCACTCAATCACAGAATCTTAACAGGATCTTAACCATTAACCACTTAGTCACAAATGAAGCAGAGAACAGATGCTATGCAATTTCCAATGCTACTTTGAAATTTCCAAATAAATGAACATTTTAATGAACACTTTTTTTTGCGAATTAGATTAGAAAAAAAATTCTTATACAGAGGCGAAGCGGAGCTTCTCATTACTTGCGATACAACGAAAAGAAAACCATTGCACTAAATGGTCAGTGAGATGAAAATAACTAAGTGGAATAAAACTTGAAAAAATGGAAATACGAAAAATTCGATCACAGAAAAACGGACAAGAAACACAACCACCACAATTATGCAAGCATTAAGTAGTTCCCGAGCAACCAATAAGCTAACAACGTGTGGTAAGACGTCAATTTATCCGAACACAAAAATGCCAACAAAATTGGTTGTCAAAAAAATTCAAATTACTTTTGGGAATATTACAAACTCAATCTCAGACATACAAACGAAAAACACAACCTCTGGCATTAAGCAAGATTTTAGTATTTTCCGAGCGTCCACTAAGCCAACAACATGTGGTTAGACTGCAATTAATCCGAAAACAAAAAAAAACCAAAGAAAATGTTGTGAAATCAAAATCAAATTTATTTTGAAATACGAAAAATTGAATCTCAGAAAAACTGTCAAAAACACAAAAAGTTGCAATGAGCAAGCTCACAGTATTTTCCGAGCGCCAATTAAGCCAACAACACAGAGTTGGACGCCAACTAAACCGAAAACAAATGTCAAAGGAAATTATTGTCATAGAAAATTTGAGCGATTAAAAGTTCGAAAATTCAACTTTTATACTACCAGCCGAGCTGATTTATTAAAGGTATGAATAATAATTTTTCATCCTTATTGCGATGTAAAATAAGTTCTCTGAACCGACAAAACAAGAAAAAGTCAGGCCGAATAAAATTACTAAGCGAAAAAAAAACCCAAGAAAAAACTGCGAACATACCAATCAGGTATAGTAATTTTAACAAACAGGAGTTTATCAACGAAACTTGGGGCTAGAACGAATACTGATTACAGCGCAAAAAAAATTGGAGCGGCAACTAAGCCGACAAACTAAAACCCGACTAATCAATTTTCCCGGAAAAAATTCAATTTGAGACACTGAAAAAAAAAAAAACAAGATCCGGCCGCGATTCGAGCCCCTGACATTCGGTTTCAAATGCAACTGCATTACCTCCAGACCAAGTGCGATGAAATAACAACTGACTTTTGATTTAATATGAACCAATCGTAGTGATTCAAATGATTTTGTTAAGCTATTTGATAACCCAAAAAAGTCTATATTCCGATTTGAAAACGCTTGCTAATCATATAATACAAATAATCGAATAATACACTAAGCAAGAGTAAAACTGGAAGAACGGTGAAACATTTTTTATTTCGCTGGGAACTCTGATAATTAAATTCCATTTTCTAGGTTAGAAAACAATCACGTTTTTCGTGATCTTTAAACTTGCGCTGTTCGATAAAGGAGTTCGGCTTCCTTTTAACAAAAGAACTGATCTTAACTTAAAAACAAATCAAATGTCAAAGCGCAAAAATAGCAAAAAAAATCGCGACCAATTTAAGAGTCTGTCTGAAAGGGGTCTACTTCAGAAAATAAAAATTTTGTTTTAAACGGTATTTCAAAACGCAACATCCAGTTTCAAGGTTTTTGATACCTTCACACAGAACCTTCAGTTTCTAGCCAAAAAAGGACACATGTTGTTGAATGGGCAATGCTAAAAGCTCAATTTCTATGCAGCAAAAGTATTTGTATAGTAAGTGAAAAAAAGTAAGATACTTCGTTCAGTATCACCTATTAAAGTTAAATTTTAGAGCATTTGAGTTTTTGTCTTGACTTAGCCCAATTTGAGAAGAACAAAGTTTTCCAGTT